CTTAGTCCTAAGAACCAAGATAAGTTGTTTTGTTGATATTGGGCTTATGCTTCTGTTATGTGGGCCTGAGTCCCCTAGAAGGAGAGGCAGAGGAGTTTTAAATCAGAGTGGGTACGACTAGGCTCCTGACTCTGCAAACTCCATGTCTAGTTGAGGTGACAAAACTACAGTTTAAGGCAGGTTGTAATCACAGTTAATATGGTACTTTGTGTTATCTCTGTACCTCACAAAAACCCTGTATAGTGGGTATTCTTATTTGCATTTCATAGGTGAGGAAATCAAGACTCAGAGATGAAATCATCTGTCTGAATCATAGATAGCAAGCGGCAAAGCTGGAAATGGAATCCAGTCTCTGATCTTTCTCACACCAGGGCCTGCCCTTTTTCTACTATGTGGTATTGCTTCTCTAAGTACCAATAATATAGTTCCGAGTTTTTTAAGAGAGGGAGAAGCAAGTGGGGTTTGAAGGATCAGGAAATAAATAGTACCTGAGCCGGTCATTTAAAATGGGTATGATTTGATCAATAGTATGCCAGAGATGGCACTCAGGGCAGGAGAGCAAAGTCAGATAAATCTGCATACCTTCCTTAGGTGATGTTGAGGAGAACTCAGGCTTTTAGTTTCCATTTTGACTTCTTTGTGCTCTTTCTGCAGGGAGGTCCTGGCCAGTGAAGCCATCCTTAATATTCCTGGTAAATCTGACTGGAGGCAGTGTCAGATCAGTAAGGAAGACGAGGAGACCCTGGCTCGCCGCTTCCGGAAAGACTTTGAGCCCTATGACTTTACTCTGGATGACTAAACAAAGGGAAGACCTTTTTATGAACTTCATAGGAAGTAGTAAAGCCTTTTTCTTTTTTTTTTTTAATTAGAAGAATTTTTTTTGAGACAAGGTCTCGCTCTGTCACCCAAGCAGGACTACAGTGGCGCAATTTTGGCTCACTGTAGCCTCAACCTCCTGGGCTCTAGAGTTCTTCCCACCTCAGCCTCCTGAGTAGCTGGGACCACCAGGCGCATGCTACCATGCCTGGCAAACTTTTTAAATTTTGGGGTAGAGGGTAGAGACGGGGGTCTCCTTGTGTTGCCCAGGCTGGTCTGTAATACGTAGGCTCAAGGGATCCTCCACCTTGGCTTCTTAACCTGCTGGGATTACAAGCATGAGCCACCATTCCTGGCCTAGAAGCATATTTTTAAAGAAACTACAATCTCCCATGGGGACTGTTTCCCCGCCTCTTTTGTGCAGTCCCATGGAACTTGCCTGCAGCAAGAGGCCTAAGATTGAATCTTTTTGGGGAAAAGTCATTCTAGGATGAAAATCCTATGTTAAGGCTGGGCGTGGTGGCTCACGCTTATAATCCCAGCACTTTGGAGGCCGAGGCGGGCAGATCACAAGGTCAAGAGATGGAGACCATCCTGGCCAACATGGTGAAACCCTGTCTCTGCTAACAGTACAAAAATCAGCTGGGTGTGGTGGCGCGCACCTATAGTCCCAGCTACTCAGGAGGCTGAGGCAGGACAATTGCTTGAACCTGGGAGGTGGAGTTTGCAGTGAGCCAAGGTCGCACCACTGCACTCCAGCCTGGGTGACAGAGCGAGACTCTGTCCAAAAAAAAAAAAAAAATCCTATGTTAAAAGCATGTCGCCAGGCACAGTGGCTCATGCCTGTAATCCCAGGACTTTGGGAGGCCGAGGCAGGTGGATCACCTGAGGACTGGAGTTTGAGACCAGCCTGGCCAACATGGTGAAACCCCGTCTTTACTAAAACTACAAAAATTAGCTGGGTGTGGGGCCAGGTGCTTGTAATCTCAGCCACTCGGGAGGCTGAGGCAGGAGAATGGCTTGAACCCGGGAGGTGGAGGTTGCTGTGAGCCGAGATTGCTCCATTGCACTCCAGCCTAGGTGACAGCGAAACTCCATCTCAAAAATAAAAGAATAAAAGTATGTCTGTCATCCAGCTTCAAGTACAGCTTGTGTATATCAACATTTTCAAAAACCTTTAAACTACCAAATGAAATCCAGCTGTTTTTCCATGGTTGAGAAGTGTCTTTTGTTCATGTTGCCTATGACCATTGAAATGAAGTAGTATGTGTAATTGGAGGGGCTAGAGCTTTAGGCCCAGCTGTTCCAGAATCACACAGGGCGGTTTCTCCCTGAGCAACCCAAAGTGGAGAAGGGATCCAAGGCTTTTGCTACCTTTCTCTTAAAGCATTCATCTTATTCATAGAGAAGAGCCCATTTAGTCCTTCAGATATTTAACTCTTATGTGCCAGGCATTTTTCTAAGCTCCAGGACCATAGTCTTGTCCCAGTATGGTCCCTGTTGTCCCAGAGATTACAGTTCAATGGGGAAGAGAAAGGACAGGTTTAAAAAAAAAAAGGATAAATTCTGCTTTGGATATTGTTGTTTTATGTGCTTGATATATCTAATGTGTGTCTTTTGTGCTGCTGGGCAGTTCTAAACTCATTGGTACCTGGGTTGGTTACAGGGCTTTGGGGATCATCAAGGTATAGGCCATAGGTGAAATTAAGATAGGGTAAATACAGTCCTGAGCTGAAGATGATAGCCTAAGAAATATCAGTTTGTGTTTTGTTTTTTTTTTTTTTTTTTTTTGGAGACGGAGTCTCGCTCTGTTGCCCAGGCTGGAGTGCAGTGGCCAGATCTCAGCTCACTGCAAGCTCCGCCTCCCGGGTTTACGCCATTCTCCTGCCTCAGCCTCCCGAGTAGTTGGGACTACAGGTGCCCACCACCATGCCTGGCTAATTTTTTGTATTTTTAGTAGAGACGGGGTTTCACCGTGTTAGCCAGGATGGTCTCGATCTCCTGACCTTGTGATCCGCCCATCTCGGCCTCCCAAAGTGCTGGGATTATAGGCTTGAGCCACCGTGCCTGGCCAGAAATATCAGTATTTAAGGAGGGCTTGAAAATAGTGATCTAACATTTACATGGAGAGGGAGCAAAGAGAATACTACATAGTAGGAGCAAAAAGAAAAATATTTTTACCTTTATATTGGGCACTTACGGTCCAGACACTGTTTCATTTAATCTTCACAAAATCTCTGTGAGGTAGGTATTACCTCTATTTTACACATGAAAAAGAATACAAACTGAGACTCAGAAAATTGAAGATTGTGGAGTCTGGGGTCAACAGGCTTAGGCTTTTTAAAAATTTGAAGGCTGGTCGAGGTGGCTCACGCCTGTAATCACAGCACTTTGGGAGGCTGAGATCAGGAGTTCGAGAGCAGCTTAACCAACATGATGAAACCCTGTCTCTACAAAAATAGAAAAAATTAGCCAGGCGTGGTGGCACGTGCCTGTAATGCCAGCTACTCAGGAGGCTGAGGCAGTAGAATTGCTTAAACCCGGGCAGTAGAGGTTGCAGTGAGCTGAGATCACGCCATTGCACTCCAGCCTGGGTGACAGGAGTGAAACTCTTGTCTCAACAACAAAAAACAACTCAAATTACTCATGGCCCTGGGAATGGGGGCATTTAAAAAGTTAACAAAGGGAACCAGCCTGGTTTCCACAAAGATGGCCACTTCCGGGTCAGCCCAATCATCAGTATCCCTGGGTCCTCAGCATCCCTTCCTCTTTTGAGTGGGAATTATGAGATTACAGCCCCACCTATGGAAATTGAGCACACTAGCACTGGCCATGCTGTACATACAGCAAATGAGAGGGCTTCATACTGTTATAACAATCTGTACCACAATTCTCTGTGCGGTCTGCCCAGCTCTAAATGACATGTCCTCAGAGGCGCCATCATCTCCAAGTCCATGGAAACCATGCACTTATAGAAACTAGAACCTCCCATACCACATGTTACTAATGACCTACAACATCAACTTGGTCTGTGTCATGCAGTGCTCAACATTCTGGTTGCAGCATCACATTTCTCAAGAATCTGATTCCATGCTGACTCCTTTACTTGGAGTATTGAGATTCCCCAGGTACAGTGAAAGTATGAGCCTCTCAAATGGAAGACCAGAAGCTGGTTCCCCTATGCTATGTCAATCCGCCACCCGGAAGCACTTGCTGCACCAACAGCATTCCCAAAACTTGCCTCTGGAGCCCTGCAGCACCCATTAGAAACACTTCTCACAATGAACTACTGTGCTGGCAGAGCCCTAACTGGACTGCTGGACAGCAAGCTCTGTGAGGCATCTAGGAAAAAAGTTCCCGAAATCCCGAGAAACATTCTTCACTCCAGAATAGCGTCACATCATTGAGTCATTTGGGATGACGGGGCATATCATGGAGCAGGTGTATTGGGAAGTCAGTGAACAATAAGGCTAATTCATTAGTGGGCCTGCTGGCGTAGTATTTTTCCAATTCCGCAGCCTTTAAATCATTGGTGGTCTTTAGCGTGCCGGATCAGCGGGTGGTGGAGTTGGAGGATAGATGGCAGGGATCTGAAGAAAGGTGAAGTGTAGACGAGTGGAGACAATGTGAAGTTTAGAAAAGACTAATTGCAGGGCGTGGTGGCTCACATCTATAATCCCAGAACTTTGGGTTGCCGAGGTGGGAGGACTGCTTGAGGCCAGGAGTTCGGGACCAGCCTGGGCAACGTAGCAAGACCATGTCTCTACATAAAACAAAAAACCCAAGCGAGGTGGTGCGCGCCTGCAATCCCAACTACTCGGGAGCTGGGAAGATCGCTCAGTTCCGGGAGGTCGAGGCAGCAGTGAGCCATGATCATGCCACTGCACTCCAGCCTGGGCAACGGAGCAAGACCCCATCTTAATTAAAAAAATATATTTAATACGGGAGAGACTGGACTGCTTTGAAAAATGGATTTGATGGGAATGTGAGGTTTGGAGAGATCTTATGTTTTCCAAGACTAGAAAAACATTGTGGTTCCGTTCAGCCCTCCCGGAAAATACCTAGGGGACTTAAAGAGCGGACCGAGTACCTGTTCGTTTCCCCACCCCTTAGCCGGCAGGGCACCGGCGGCGCCCTGGGAAAACTTAGGGAAGGGCCGGTCTCGCAGCGGTTACCGGAAGTGACGCATTCATTCTCGCGAGAAGGAAGACGCGCGAGCATCTGCGGCCCGGAACCGGCCTTGGAACAACGGCGGAGCCTGAGGCTGCTTGCCCTCCCGCCCCATGGAGCGGCCCCCGGGGCTGCGGCCGGGTGCGGGCGGGCCCTGGGAGATGCGGGAGCGGTTGGGCACCGGCGGCTTCGGGAACGTCTGTCTGTACCAGCATCGGGTGAGGCGGGGCGCGAGAGGGAGCGGCGGTGGGTTTGAGCGTCTGTGGAACACAGGGCTGACAGTGTGGGATAGATGGTTAGTGGGACCTTGGGCAGTATTTGTGGGCCAGTAGGCTTGTGTGTGTGTATGAGAGAGAAAGATACTCTGCCTGTGTGTCCAAAGTTGTGTCTGAGGTACTGGGCGTAGATAGAGCTGTTGCGGGGAACTTGGGTATGACTGTCAGGCTGTGACCAGGTGTTTAGTGAGTGTGACAGTGCGCGTGTGTCTCTGTGAATGTAGAGTGTCAGGGTGTGTGAGGCAGATGCATGTCACAGTGTGTATGTGTGAGCACGAATGTGTGAGAAGAGGGTTGAAGGAGACTGCCTGTTGGAATGTGTGCGTCCGTGTGTATGGGTCCGTGTGTGCGCGCGCTTGCTTGGAGGCCGTGTGATATCAGTGGGGACTGCAGTAGACAAGGAAGGCTTCATGATGGGTCCAGAGTTAAACTTTTGGAAGCATGGATGGGCTTTGGAATTGGGGATGTATTCCAGGTCGGGACAGTATGAGGGTAAGTTGGTGCAGATCATGGCTTCAAACGGAAGGCGATATTGATAGATTGGAGATGGGGGGCGCTCCAGTCGGTGGAGGACAGTTAACATCAGACTCAAGAATTTTACTTTGATTTAATAGAGAATGTTTAACCATTGTAGCAGCAGTTAAAAAAATAATATTTGGGTCATGTTTGTGTGTTTGTTTGTTTTTGTTTTCGAGACGGAGTCTCACTCTGTTGCCCAGGCTGGAATGTAGTGGCGTGATCTCGGCTCACTGTAGCGTCCTCCTGGGTTCAAGCGATTCTCCTGCCTCAGCCTCCTGAGTAGCTGGGATTACAGGCGCCCGCCACCACGCTGGGCTAATTTTTTTGTATTTTTAGTAGAGACAGGGTTTCACCATGTTGGCCAGGCTGGTCTCGAACTCCTGACCTCAGGTGATCCACCTGTCTCAGCCTCCCAAAGTGCAGGGATTATAGGCGTGAGCCACTGCGTCAGGCCTGGGACATGTATTTTTTGTTATAAAAAATGATAATCAATAAAAGCTGTGAACCGTTTCCCCAGAAAAATGCACAGATGCACATCCACGCAACCATGCATTGCCATTTGAGAGGTTCATGCTTTCCTAAAGGACATTTTAGGTAAATAGACCCTGGACTAACACTTCCTGTAATACAGGCTTTGTTTTGTTCCCTATAAAATAGGTATAGTATAATACTTGCATGCATCATGGGTTTGAGAGTTAAATAAAATAATAATGTATGTAAAGCTAAACACAGTACCTGACCCATGAAAGCCCTCAGCTGTTAGCACCTGCTGCTACTTTGTTATTGCTGCTCTGATCATAATGCTCCTCATTAATTGGCCTTAAACAAGGAAATGTCAAGATTGAAAGTGTTGTTCTAGGAAAATGGTTTTGTGAAGGATAAATTTGAGTGGAACAACATGTGGGACAAGATGAACAGTTAAGATTTTACTAAAATGCCTGGGCTTGGATTGTGAATAGAGAAATGAATTCAAGAGGAAAAGTAATAATTTGTTATCTAAAGGAACATGGGTGTAGTGAGAAAGCTCATAATTTGGGGTGGGAAAAAGGGGAGATGGGTGTCTACCTTGGAGAAATAGGCATGTTTAGGGTAATTAGAATGACAACTGAAACTGATAGAACTGAGGAAGTTTTGTGAACCAGGTTTCTAGATAGGGCGTGGGAGAAAATCTTGGAGAAAGAGAATGGAAGGTGAAGGACTAAGGCATTAAATCCTATGATAGCAGGATAAGTAGTAAATTTAATAATTCTCACCATCAGAGGGAATATAACACACTAAAAAAAAAGTGGGAGCCAAGTGCTTCCAGTGGCATGTTGCCTGTGTTACCTAAGCCTGCCTATAGACTGATCATAAGGAAAAAGGATGCATGCTGGCAGCTTTTGTGACTTCTTTTTTTGGTCCCTGGGTGGGGATGGATGAATTCATCACTTTTTGTTTTATTATGGTAAAGTATACATAACACAACATTTATCACTTTATTATTATTATTATTTTTTTTTTTTTTTTTTTGAGACGGAGTCTCGCTCTGTCGCCCAGGCTGGAGTGCAGTGGCACGATCTCGGCTCACTGCAAGCTCCGCCTCCAGGGTTCATGCGATTCTCCTGCCTCAGCCTCCCAAGTAGCTGGGACTACAGGTGCCCACCACCGCGCCCGGCTAATTTTTTGCATTTTTAGTAGAGATGGGGTTTCACTGTGTTAGCCAGGATGGTCTCGATCTCCTGACCTCGTGATCCACCCGCCTCAGCCTCCCAAAGTGCTGGGATTACAGGCGTGAGCCACTGCGCCCGGCAATCACTTTATTTTTAAGTGTACAGTTAGGTAGCATTAAGTATATTGACGTTGTTGTACAGCCGTCACCCTATCCCCAGAATATTCCAGCTTTTTAAGCACATAACTTTGTTGTTGTTGTACATCTATAAACTGCCCATAGAACATTCTTTGCGAAAAGATAGAATTTCACAGAGTGGATGAAATATAAATTAAGGAGTTGAAGGATCTTACAAAGTGGGATTTTTGAAATAGATAACTTACTGTTCCATCAACATGAGCATTTAGGACTCAGTGCTATAGCTGTGCCTGATTCTCATCTCCATGGTGGTAAAGGTCTGCATGGGACATAGATAAAACTGGCCACCTGCTCATAACAAAAGGAAGACTGAAGGGAGTGAGACCTGTGGGTAGGCTAGTTTGTAGTCTATCCTATTTTCCTTCTTCTCTATGCACCAAGTATCATCTTATCTCTAGCCTCTTTTTTCCTCTCAGCCCCCAATTCACACTACCCTATCCAAGCTGTGTTTTCCTTCCCCACCTATAATATATTTTTTCTGTCCTGGCCCCTGGGCTCTTCTCTCTTTATTCATACACAGCCTTTATTACAACTCTGGTTTGTGTCAGAGATTACATATGTTGGAAATTCTTTTGAACTCTCTTTGTGATATCAGAAACATAGTGTAGCCTGTTTTGCCCTGGCTGCTGTTTCTGAGCTGCATTATTAGTGTTGCCAGAATATGATGGGATCTGGCTATTTCCTGTAATGTGCATCAGAATGGGTTTAATTTCAGTCAGAATTGGCTAAATTACTAGTCACAGGCCAGAGATGTTAGGTTCCTTGTGTAGATATGGAAACAGAAGTACACTCATTGGTAGGATTTTTTTCCTTCATGTCATTTGAAATGCATACATTAAGATTGGAGTTTTTTGCTTTAGGCTTGGTTATATTAAAACTTTCTCTTGCTGTTTGGAGTCCAGGAAGCCCTGAATTACCTTCTTCATTCTAATTATGCTGGGACCTGGGGCCCATGTTAGTTGTCTTGATTAAGCTCTGAATGGGATTTGCTGCGGAGACAGGATCTTTTTTTTTTCTGACATTACACATGAGAGAGAGTTCCAAAGAGACCTGTTATAAAATCAGTTTCAGTCACTTTTCCCTTGTGTGCTGTTGTGTGTTCCAAGGTCAGTTTTAAAGCATTGGTGTAATAGTCTCATGGTTTATCTTTTTAAAAAAGCGTTGCTTCAAGAGAGCTGTGGATAAATATATTTAATTAGTAAAGCTAAAAAGTTTTGTTTTAGGTTATTTCTTTGGTAGCAAATAAATCTGCACAAGAACCTAATTTTTTTTTTTTCTGCTGATTTTCTATTTTGGCAGGAACTTGATCTCAAAATAGCAATTAAGTCTTGTCGCCTAGAGCTAAGTACCAAAAACAGAGAACGATGGTGCCATGAAATCCAGATTATGAAGAAGTAAGTGTACTCCTTGACTTATATTCCCCTGGTTCTACAGCCCAACCCGATGTCATCATCGGGAAAGAGACCAGGAATCCACTCTTCTCAGGATCTTTTTGGGAACATGTATTTTTTTCTCTCATTAAATATATTATGTTTCAAATAACATCACATTAGGATTAAGAAGGTTTAGTTAAAATCAGCTAGGACACTTACACACTGTTGGTAGGAATGTAAAATTGTGCAGCTGTTATGGAAAACAGTATGGTGATTCCTAAAAAGTTAAAAATAGAATTACCATATGATCCAGTAGTTCCATTTCTGGGTATATACAAAAATGAATTGAAAGCAGGGACTTCAAGAGTAATTTGTACACTCATATTCATAGCATTATTTTTCACAATAGCCTAAAGGTAAAAGCAACCCAGTATCTACCAACAGAGACATGTATAAACAAAATGTGGTATACTCATGAAATGGAATATCATGCAGCCTTAAAAAGGAAGGAAACTGACACATGCCACAGCATGGATGAATCTTGTGGAGATTATGCTAAATGAAATAAGCCAGTCACAAAAAGACAAATACTGTGTTATTCCTTATATGTGGTACCTAGTCTAGTCAAACTCACAGTGGAAGAAAGTAGAATGGTGTTTGCCAGACAGTGAAGGGACCAGCAAATAGAGAATAATTTTTAATAGGTGCGGAGTTTCGCCTTTGCAGAATTCAACAGTTTTGTGCAGTATAGTGATAGTAGCAAAACAATGTGGAAGTATTTGATGCCAGGCTGGGCACGTTGGCTCACACTGTAATTCCAACACTTTGGGAGGCTGAGGCGAGTGGATTGCTTGAGCTCAGGAGTTCGAGACCCACCTAGGCAACCTGGCAAAACCCCATCTCTACAAAAAATACAAAAATTAGCCGGGTGTGGTGGTACATGCCTATAGTCCCAGTTACTCGGGAGGCTGAGGTGGGAAGATTGCTTGAGCCCAGGAGGTCGAGGCTACAGTGAGCTGAGATCACACCACTGTACTCCAGCCTGTGTGACAAGAGCAAGACCCTGTCTGAAAAAAAAGGAAAGCATCTGATGCTACTAAACCATACACTTAAAAATGGTTAAGGTGGTAAATTTTATGCTATATGTATTTTACCACCATCAAAAAAGTGTTTCATTTCAGTTAACAAAAGTCAGTTAGGGTATGGTGGCTCCCACCTATAATCCCAGCACTTTGGGAGGCCAAGGTGGGTGGATCACCTGAGGTCAGGAGTTTGAGACCAGCCTGGTCAACATGGCAAAACTCCATCTGTACTAAAAATACAAAAATTAGCCGGGCGTGGTAGCGGGCGTATGTAATCCCAGCTACTTGGGAGGCTAAGGCAGGAGAATTGCTTGAACCTGGGAGGCGGAGGTTGCAGTGAACTGAGATCATGCCACTGTACCCCAGCCTGGGCGACTGTCTCAAAAATAAATAAATAAATAAATAACCCCAACATTTTGTGGCTTAAAATAGCAAACATTTAGTATCTTATAGTTTCTGTGACTTAGGAATTTAGGAGTGGCTTAGCTGGGTGATTCTAGCTTAGAGTCTTTCCTGAGACATCTCAAGATACTGACTGGAGCTTCAGTAATCCAAAGGCTTAACTGGCACTGGAGTATCTGCTTCCATGCTCACTTATATGACTGTTGGCCAGAAGCATCAGTTCTTCACCGCGTGGGCCTCTTCATGGGGAAGCTTGAATGTCTTCATGACATGGAAGCTAGCTTCCCCAGAAAGATCTTTTCCCCAGAAAGAGTGAGTGATCTGAGAGAGAGAGACAGCGAATGATCGAGCAAGATGAAAACCGACATATCTTTTATGATCTTTCCTCAGAAGTAAGACTCCATCCTTTTCCACCACATTCTGTTTGTTATGGTGAGTCACTAAGTATAGCCTACATTCAAGGGGAGGAGAGTTAAGCTTTTAAAAAGAGAAGTAGATATATTTTAAAACTTCCACAGGTAGTGTGCTAAGTGCTTTATAAATCATTCTTCCAGTTTATCACAGCAATCTTATATTTAGGTATTGTTTTGTAAGTGAGGAAGTTGAAGCATATAGAGTCACATAGCTGGTAAAGTGTGGATTTGAAATAAATACTTTCTGACTCTAATATATCTGTGCTTAATTTCATTTTGCTTCTCAAACTTGGTTATGTGGCAGAATCACCAGGAAAGCTTAACAATATAAATTATCAGACCCTGCATGTACATGGAAATTCTTTTTCTTTTTTTTTTCTTAAAGAGATGTGGTCTTGCTGTGTTACCCAGGCTTGACTTGAACTCCTGGGCTCAAGTAGTCCTCCCATCTCAGCCTCTGGAGTAGCTGGGACTATAGGCATGTGCCACCACACCTGGCTAATTTTTAATTTTTTGTAGAGATGAGGTCTCAGTGTTACCCATGCTGATCTCAAACTCCTGACCTCAAGCAATCCTCCCACCTCAGCCTCCCGAATTGTTGGGATTACAGTTGCAACTGCATCCAGCCTAAAACGCCAGATTTGAATCCTTACTTGACTACCTACTGACTGTGTTACTTAGCCAATTTGTGCTTTAATTTTCTCCTGTGTGGTGAAAGTATTAATAAATCTACCTATATTAGGATTATTGTGACAAGTAATTGAGTTAATATGTTTAAAATGCTTACTGCTTGGCACTTAGAAATGTAATAGTAGTAATAGTGATGGTATTTTTATGTATGTTTTCTTTTAAAAAATTCTAATTTTTAATTATACAAATCAGAAATTAGAGTATTATAAATAATACCGATCTTTCCCCCTCTGTTCGTCCACCCGCAATTAAGTAGCATTTCAAATCCAGTCCCTTTTTATTGGAAATAAATTTTTTATTGTAATGTTTTTCTTTCTTATTAGGTTGAACCATGCCAACGTTGTAAAGGCCTGTGATGTTCCTGAAGAATTGAATATTTTGATTCATGATGTGCCTCTTCTAGCAATGGAATACTGTTCTGGAGGAGATCTCCGAAAGGTAGTGTGGATGTTTTGAGATGAGAGATAGTAAATCACAAACTTTAGCATTATTTGAATCATATTAAATATAATAAACTAGAATAAGAATCGGAAAAACTATGGTCTGCTTCCTGTTTTGTAAATAGTTTTATTGGAACACAGCCACATTCATTTCTTTACACATTGTCTATGGCCGCTTTCTTATGACTGCAGAATTGAGTAGTTTAACAGAGGCTATGTGACTTGCAAAACCTAAAGTATTTACCATATGGTTCCTTACAGAAAATGTTTGTTGACTCCTGATTTAGAAAATGCATTTTTGTTGTTGCTGTTTGATGGGACTATAGCAGTGGTATTAGATGAAATTTTCAGTGGTTAAGGTGCTTGTAAAAAGTTCTGTATTGCAATCTTTCTTTTCTACCTAATTTTAAATGTGCCCATATGACCATTTATATATATATATCCCTGAGATTTGTCAGCCTTTTCCAGTTTCAAGTGCTTTTGGCTTCTTTTTACTTTTATGAGCCTTATCATGAAATTTACATGCCGTCAGTATGGATTTGGTAATTGTATTCGCTTGTATTTTATTATGACTTACTTTCTCATTGAATATTCTCTTAGAGTATAGTAATTAATGTGTGGTCACTATTACAGCCCAGCAATTTGCAGAACACATTTTTAGGTTTCTTTCTTTTTTTAGCTGCTCAACAAACCAGAAAATTGTTGTGGACTTAAAGAAAGCCAGATACTTTCTTTACTAAGTGATATAGGTATGTAATCAGTATTAAAATACTATTGTGATGTAATGCCCCTTTAATCCATAAAAGATTCTGTACCTTTTTGGGAATTCAGGAGAATTGTTGATACACTGTACAAAGTCTATAGAATTTCAACATCTATAAGAAGTTATCATATAAATCTATTACTGTTGATGCTAAATTAAAACCAGGATTTTTTTTTTTTTTTTTTTTTTTTTTTTTGAGACGGAGTCTTGCTCTGTCGCCCAGGCTGGAGTGCAGTGGCCAGATCTCGGCTCACTGCAAGCTCCGCCTCCCGGGTTCACGCCATTCTCCTGCCTCAGCCTCCCGAGTAGCTGGGACTACAGGCACCCGCCACCTCGCCCGGCTAGTTTTTTGTAATATTTAGTAGAGACGGGGTTTCACCGTGTTAGCCAGGATGGTCTCGATCTCCTGACCTCGTGATCCACCCGTCTCCGCCTCCCAAAGTGCTGGGATTACAGGCGTGAGCCACCGCGCCCGGCCTAAAACCAGATATTTTTATATCCTAGGGTGCGGTGGCTCACGCCTGTAATCCCAGCACTTTGGGAGGCTGAGGTGGGCGGATCACGAGGTCGGGAGTCCAAGACCAGCCTGGCCAACATAGTGAAACTCCATCTCTACTAAAAATACAAAATGCCTGTAATCCCAGCACTTTGGGAGGCCGAGGCGGGCAGATCACAAGGTCAGGAGATCGACACTATCCTGGCTAACACAGTGAAACCCCGTCTCTACTAAAAAATCCAAAAAATTAGCTGGGTGTGTTGCAGGCGCCTGTAGTCCCAGCTATTTGGGAGGCTGAGGCAGGAGAATGGCGTGAACCCAGGAGGCAGAGCTTGCAGTGAGCCGAGATCATGCCACTGCACTCCAGCTTGGGCGACAGAGCGAGACTCCGTCTCAAAAAAATAAAAATAGAAAAATTAGTTGGGCACGATGCCACATGCCTGTAGTCGCAGCTACTCGGGAGGCTGAGGCAGGAGAATTGCTTGAACCCAGGAGGTGGAGGTTGCAGTGAGCCGAGATTGGGCCACTGCACTCCGGCTTGGGCAACAGAGTGAGACTTTTGTCACACACACATACACACACACACACACACACACACACACACACACAAACTAGGATATTTTATTTATTTTGGCTAGGAGTCCTTTTTTTATCTAATAGGTATTCCAATAGCTGACAAAAAAATCATGCAAAATGACCTTACTCAATTTCACTCCTCCCACACCATTGACATAGTAATTTTTTTTACAGTGGAATTGCATCTCCTTGAGAGATGGGTCCTCAAATCAACTCTTTTTTGTTTGTTTTGAGACGGAGTCTAGCCCTATCACCCAGGCTGGAGTGCAGTGGTACGATCTCAGCTCACTGCAAGCTCTGCCTCCCAGGTTCAAGTGATTCTCCTGCCTCAGCCTCCTGAGTAGCTGGGATTACAGGCGCCCGCCACCATGCCTGGCTAATTTTTGTATTTTTAATAGAGACCGGGTTTCACTGTGTTGGCCTAGCTAGTCTCAAACTCCTGACCTCATGATCCGCCCGCCTCGGCCTCCCAAAGTGCTGGGATTGCAAGCGTGAGCCACCACGCCCGGCCAAGTCAACTCTTGGGGTGAAAAATCTCTGCTTAATCAGAATGACTCCAGAAAAATTCCTAAAATAACCAGTACCTAAACTTTTGGAGGAACCTCAAAAACCAAAAATTTGTTTCCGCGTAGATTTTGGTTTTGCCTCTTTTCCAAGGTCATGAGAGCTAAAGTCCAGTTTAAATGGTTGATTTAGGTGGGAGAAGGGGGCTTATTAGAGTTACAGGGATTTTCCCAATTGCTTGTTGCATTTCTATTTAATGTTAATTCTAATGAGTTAGATGAACATATAGTATAATTTTGTAGTATTTGCTTAATGTTACGTTTTTCTGTGAAGAAAACCTGAACTACTGTAATATTAGTTGTGTAGTTACGATGATCCATATAAACTTGAGCATCAGAGCAGATTTGTACAAAATGTGAGGTGAATTTTTCTTTTAACTCAATGCTTTCTGTTACTTCAAAGTGTATTTTAAACTTTATTTAGGGTCTGGGATTCGATATTTGCATGAAAACAAAATTATACATCGAGATCTAAAACCTGAAAACATAGTTCTTCAGGACGTTGGTGGAAAGGTAGGTGAAACCTGAAGTAATGTTTCATGCCTATTGAATATAGTCTGTCTGATATAGTTAGTCCTTGAGCTTTGGTGTCTTTGCTGTATACCTGTAACACTCTTACTTTTTCCATTTCAGACCTTACCACACTGAACTGTAGTTTTGTGTTTAGTTTTTTGTCCCTTCTGCTAAACAGTGGTTCCATTAAAGAAGGAACTGCACCTGTCTTTTTTTTCTTTTTCTTTTTTTTCATTTTTCATACTTAACGCAGCTCCTAGACTTCACCTGTCTTGTTCATGTCTGTTTTTCCAGCATAGTATCTAGCAAAGATACTGGCAGTGAATACATAATATGTTAACACTTACTATTTTATTCTTATGAAGCACATCCAAAACACATACACACACATCCTGGGTTCGCTTTAAGAAAAAAAGAAAGTATGTATATTTTTAAAACTTATTTTCCTTCCCCCAATTTAGATGAGTTATCTGGAGAAGAACCAGAAATTGTGAATTGACTCTTAAAATGTTCATTTAATTAGTAACTTTTAAGCAGTTTTCTTGTTTCCAGCGTCCAAATTTCATTCCAGTAAAGACTTAAAAGCCAAGAGTCTGCGCCTTGGGTTGAGTTGTGTGTGCTGTCTTTTCAGTTAGTGAAGATAGTTGTTGGTCTCGTGGGGGTGTTGGAACCTTAGTGATGCTTCTTCTCTTAGGAGCCTTTCGTGTATGCTTGGCACCAAATATCTCTGCTTTTTTTTTTTTTTTAATCCAAAGACTTCAGGACATTCTTGAAGTTAGATCTCAGTATTTACTCACATTTAATCCACTCTTAAGGGGGTATGACGCTTCTTCAAGTTTGGAAGTCACCCTTGCCTTTACTTTCCAGTTTAATGGATCGAGCTTATTTTGAATATAGCAAAATAAAAATTAATAGCCCACCTGTATTTAATTTTTACCATGTACCAAGCACTGTATTACCTTCTTTACTTTCATTATTTCATTGGATCCTAATAACAATTCTGTGAAGTAGGGACTGTTAGTCGTCCAATTAGATTACTGAGAGAGGTTAAATAACTTGGTAGATCACACACCTAGTTAAGTGGTGGCACTCAGACTTGAAATATTTTTGTGATATTACAGAGCCCAAGCTCCTCACCACCACCGTCTCTATAGCCTTATAAGGATATTGTTGTCTTTCCTTTTTAAATTTCTCTACCATTTAATACTTAATCTGTCTTATTATTTTTCAGATAATACATAAAATAATTGATCTGGGATATGCCAAAGATGTTGATCAAGGAAGTCTGTGTACATCTTTTGTGGGAACACTGCAGTATCTGGTGAGGCCTGTATTGTTTCTTTGAATTTAAGTGTGTGTAGGATTCTCTTATTTCTGAAGATCATGAATATAGTAGTTCAAAAATAAAGTAGTTTTTCCCATACAGTGTTGGTGTTTAAAACATTTTCTCTTTTGAAGGCCCCAGAGCTCTTTGAGAATAAGCCTTACACAGCCACTGTTGATTATTGGAGCTTTGGGACCATGGTATTTGAATGTATTGCTGGATATAGGCCTTTTTTGCATCATCTGCAGCCATTTACCTGGTAAGAAATGGATGAGAACTTGGGCATGCTTAATGGGAATGGAAATATTTTCATTTGTCTGCTTTTCTTTTTCTTTCTTTGTTTAATTGCCTTTGAAATATACAATTGAATATAATTAAATGGCAAGAAATCTTAAGAGTATTTGTGAGAATCACTTTGTCAGCTGAGGTAGCTTTTGATTTTATAGGCATGAGAAGATTAAGAAGAAGGATCCAAAGTGTATATTTGCATGTGAAGAGATGTCAGGAGAAGTTCGGTTTAGTAGCCATTTACCTCAACCAAATAGCCTTTGTAGGTAAGTATATTTTAGTTAAGGAAGTTTGCCTCAGTTTCTCCAGGGTTGTAAAGGAACAGTAGAGTAGTTTTCTGTTTCAAGTTGCATTATCCAGTAGAACTTTCTGTGATGATGTAGAAACCTTCTATATCTCTGTTTGCCACATGAGGCTATTGACTCCTTGACAGGTAGCTAGTTTGGCTAGGTAACTGAATTTTGAATAAATACTAAATGTAAATAGCCATTTGGGACTGACTAGTGGCTACCATATCGGACAGCACAGATCTAGTGGAAACAAGAACTGCCATTTAACTGATTGACATAGGTCCTAAAGAAGGTTCTTAGGATAATGAAGGAAATGGGTTCTTTGCAGAATGGATTTGGACTCATCCGTTGGAGTTGTCAGTAACTAACGTGGAGTTTTGAGTAGTTTTTGATGGAAAAAAGTTTGTTCCCTGTCATTTCATGAATTTGAAAGTAAGTTATGAAATGGTATAGACAAGTGATGTGGGAAAGAAAGTGGACAACCTACAAAATTACTTTTCTAACAGTATAAAGGGAAATTGGAACATAATGATTTGCTTTTCACCCTATTTTATATGTTTTCTAGTTTAATAGTAGAACCCATGGAAAACTGGCTACAGTTGATGTTGAATTGGGACCCTCAGCAGAGAGGAGGACCTGTTGACCTTACTTTGAAGCAGCCGAGATGTTTTGTACTAATGGATCACATTTTGAATTTGAAGGTTAGTCTTAATGGGTCTACTGCATAAGACCAGCATTGAAATTAACAAGTTTATTTGGAAAATTAGCATAAATATAGTTTAATAATCTTTTCCTGTTGCTTACTTATTTATTTATTTTGAGACAGGGTCTCGCTCTGTCACCTAGGCTGGAGTGCGGTGGCATGTTTTAAGCCCACTGCAACCTTCACCTCCCAGGTTCAAGCAATTCTTTTGCCTCAGCCTCCCAAGTAGCTGGGACTACAGGTGCATGCCACCACACCCAGCTAATTTTTGTATATTTAGTAGAGATAGGGTTTCACCACCTTGTCCAGGCTGGTCTTGAACTCCTGACCTCAGGTGATCCGCCCGCCTTGGTCTTCCAAAGTGGGATTACAGGCGTGAGCCACTGCGTCCAGCGCTGATGCGTATTTGAAAAAAGAAAATTATATTCTTAGAGCTGATTTTTAAAAAAAATTTCTTTAGCAAGCTGTCTCAGTTTGCTTCTCTGTGGTCTTTGTTGATTACTCCTTTGAAGCAACTTTTTAATTTTCCTTTTCCCATGTTGTTGCCATTATCCTCATTCATTTATGTCTAGTCATACTGGATTTGATTTGGTAAGGAAGGTTCCTATCTGCCTTTCATGGTTCTGCACTTACTCCCTAACCTATAGTTAATTCAATATGTACTACCTATCTCATCTTCTGAAAATGCTTTTTTATTCTTCTGCCCAAGAACCTAATATAGTTCTTTTTTTTTTTAACAAGTCAAGTGTAAACTGATCTGCTTGGCTTTTTTGGGGGGCTTTCCCTAACCAAGTTTTGCCTTGTACCTGCCTCTCTTAACCTTTACCTCATACAAGACCAGCTTATCACTGCTCCTTATACCTCAAACCCATTATCTACTTTTATGCTTTGACAGATGCTATCCTTCTGCCTAGTATGATATCCATTTCTGTGTATCTCCTCACCTACACTGGCATGTCTTCAAGAACTTTTCTTTAAATGGTCTCTGCCACACAATTTGTCATTTAAAGGCTATATTCTCTATTTCTCATCTTCCATTCATGCATCTTCATATAGATTGTTTTCTTCTTCAATGTTGGGATTGTTTTACTACTTTTATTGACAACCACCCACCCTACCCATCCTAACCATGGCAGTCAGTACAGAGCAGGGCATGTATCAGGTTCTTAGTAAATTATTTATTGATATGAATGAGAGCTGTAGATAGTTCTGTTGGGCAGTGTACCCAGAAACAACTCTCATAATAGTCTTTACATTTTTATTGATAGTTTATAGTATACAGGTTTCTAAAATTGAAATGAGAAATTATAATCATTTAATGTTGGAGTACATGGCGAGATAGTTCACTTTAGTCTGGAACTCCTGAACTCACATGATCCTCCTGCCTCAGCCTCCAGAGTAAATGGGACTGCAGGTGTGCGCCAGCTCTCCTGCCTAATTTTTAAATTTTTGGTAGAAATGGGGTCTCGCTGTGTTGTCCAGGCTGGTTTTGAACTCCTGGCCTCAAGTGATCCTCCTACGTTGACTTCCCAAAGTGCTGGGATTACAGATGTGAGCCACCGTGCCCGATCTTGGCATACTTTATTAAATAGAAACTTGAGGCCATGTGGATGTCATTCTTGGCTAACACTGAAAAGATACCTAGCTTCTTCTTGATTTGGTTTCCTTCTACAGTGCCAAAGAATAAATTACCCCTTAGTGCGTTAGGAAAGCAGGGCTTTAGTTCTGTGTTGCCTCTGAAACATTTCGGTTGTGAATGAATCACCTCTCTTATTTGTTTCATACTCGTCATAGGAATTATAGCATCATTTCTGCTTTGAAGGGCATCTGTGAGCCTCTTGTTATAGGGCATGGGGAAAGATTCCACATTATGGAGTTTGTAGTTTACAGACTTGAATTCAGTTTGCAGCACCACTATTTACCTGTCTGTGAACCTGAGCAAATGTTGTCTGTCTATCTCAAGGACAGTAATATCTTCCTCAAAGAACCAATATTATTATGAGGTTATACAGAGTAAGGTATATATAGGGTACTAGTTATAGTAGTTCAAGAAGCTTCAAGGATGCTTGTTAGACATGATAATAGGACTGAATTTTGAAGAATGAGATTTTTTAGGAAAAGGGTGGGGGTGGGATAGATTTATAGGCAGCAGAGCATCATGAGCAAAAGTACAGAAGTATGAACTACAAAACAGCTTGGTGTTACTGTAGGACATTTTCCTAAAATGTTTATATATATTGTACAAGAAAGGAATGATGTCTGTTTGATTTTCACTTAAAAAAGGAAGCAACAAAACAGTTACTATTTCCCTTTTGAAAAAACAGCTTAACAAGTCTGATTGTATGCATATTTTTCAACTGTTTATTATAAAAATCTTTAAATATGTTGAAGAGTTGGAAAAAGTGTACTGAACCTACCACTAAAAATAATGGTGAAACAGCAACATTTAATTATTTTTTTCTTTGCCTCCTCTTTCATGCCCCTAAATGTAACTGTATTCTGAGTCTCTTCTTGGTTCTTTTTCCATTATATTTCCTTTTTTTAATTAGGCAGTTTCTTCAACTGTATAGCTTTATCTATAAACTGCACACGGATAACTCCTAAAGTTATTTCTCTCCATAGCTTAGACATTTCCACCAAGGACTTATAACTGTCGTATAACTGTATAACTATCTGGTTGTTCCACTAGCACTTAAGACTTAATTTATTAAAAACTGAACATATTTGTTCTATCCATTAAATTTATTTCTTTTTTTTTGTTTGTTTTTGAGATGGAGCCTCACTGTGCCTCACGATCTCAGCTCACTGCAACCTACACCTCCTGGGTTCAAGCGATTCTCCTGCCTCAGCCTCCTGAGTAGCTGGGATTACAGGTGCCCGCCACCATGTCTGGCTGATTTTTATATTTTTAGTAGAGATGGGGTTCCACCATGTTGACCAGGCTGGTCTTGACACCCTGACCTCAGGTGATCCTCCCACCTTGGCCTTCCAAAGTGCTGGGATTACAGGCATGAGCCACTGCACCTGGCCCCATTAAATCTACCTCTGTAGATTTCCTACACCTCTTATTTGCATTGTCACCTTTTCAGTTACCCAGATGGGAAACTTTGGCTGTCTTGGCTCTTCCTTTCTCTTCAATCGATATATCCAATTATTTTGTAAATTTCTCTTTTGAATATCTTAATAATTTTGAGCTTGCCAGGTTCTCAATTTAGAAAGGCTTGCATAGTTCTCTTTCACTTATTGAATAAAGTTCAGACCCTTTCATTGGTACTCAGAACCTATCTTGGTTTCATATCAGTTTATACTTTCGGACTTACCTCTTACTAATGCCCCGAGAGAGCATCATTTTAGGTACATTTGAACTGGATTAATTGTATTCTCTGATTATGCCCATCCCTTTCTACTTTTCTGCTTCTGCTTGCCTTGTTTTCTGCCTAAAGGAACTTATTTTTCAGTCCTTTCCCATTTCAGTCTTTCTTTCATTTCAAAGTTTAGCTCAAGTAGTGCCTCCTTTATGAAGTGCCTGCTTCCTACTGCCAAGTGTATGATACTTTATGCTGATTATAACACCTATCACATTTTGCCTGGTACTTTAGTTCTCTTAGTATATCTTAATACCTTCTGTTTGACTATAACTATGGAGGGCAAGGATCATCAGGTACTCAGTTTGTATACCCACTACTACCACCACAACACATTTAATATTATGTATCAACAGTATGTACCTACCAATAGTAGGTACTCATTAAATATTATAGTGAACAAAAAGATAAATTTAGGTTGTATTTCCTCTTTTTTCTTTTGCTCCCTTCTGGCCTGGAGCTTTGGTAGTGGGATGCCATGATGACATATCCTAATATCCTGTGTAAAAGTAGATATCCATTATAGGATTTTTCATCCTAAGTTTCTGCTATTGCTATAAATGGCAGCTGTCATAGTGTGAAATATGCCTAAACTGGGAAGGCATGGGAAGTCTCAGGTAGTATAATTGTATTGTAAATCCATATCAGTTTTGAAGATTTCCCTACTCCCCTTTTAAGCATAAAAGATTTATATTAAAGAGAAGTCTCTTAATAAGAGAAATACTGGCAATCATGTTGTGACATTTGGAATTCACATGAAAAGGATCAACTTCCGGTTATAAAAACAGTTTGGTATTTCTTTTTAAAAATTTTGTTAATACAGGTGCAGTGGCTCATGCCTATAATCCCAGCACTTTGGGAGGCGGAGTCAGGCGGATCACTTGAGGTCAGGAGTTCAAGACTAGCCTGGCCAACATAGTGAAACCCCATCTCTACTAAAAATACAAAAATTAGCCAGGGATGGTGGTGCATGCCTGTAATCCCAGCTACTCGGGAGGCTGAGGCAGGAGAGTTGCTTAAACCTGGGAGGTGGAGGCCGCAGTGAGACGAGATCGCAACACTGCACTCCAGCCTGGGCAACAGAGAGAGACTCTGTGTCAAAAACAAACAAAATTGTTAATATGCTTTTAAGTTTTTTTTGTTTGTTTTGTTTTTTTGAGATAGAGTTTTGTACTGTCACCCAGGCTGGAGTACCATGGTACGATCTCCACTCACTCCAGCCTTCACCTCCCAGACTCAAGTGATTCTCTCGTGCCTCAGCCTCCCACACAGTTGGAATTACAGGTGTGTGCCATCATAGCTGACTAATTTTTTTGTATTTTTGGTAGAGACAGGTTTTCACCATGTTGGCCAGGATGGTCTCGAACTCCTGTCCTCAAGTGATCCACCTGTCTTGGCCTCCCAAAGGGCTGGGATTACAGGTGTGAGCCACTGCACCCGGCCTAATTTTTTAAATTGACTAATAATTGTACATATTCATGGGGTAAATAGTGATGTTTCAATACATATACTGTGTAGTGATTAGATTAGGGTAATTAGCATATCCATCATCTCAAACATCATTTCTTTGTGTTGGGAATATTCAGTATCCCTTTCTTTCTTTTTTCTTTCTCTTTCTTTTTTTTTTCTTTTTGAGACGGAGTCTCACTCTGTCGCCTGAAGTGCAGTGGCGCAATCTCGGCTCACTGTAGCCTTGATCTCCCAGGTTCAGGCAATTCTCCTGCCTCAGCCTTCTGAGTAACTGGGATTATAGGCATTGTGCCACCAAGCCTAGCTAATTTTTGTATTTTTAGTAGAGACGAGGTTTCACCATGTTGGCCAGGCTGGTCTTGAACTCCTGACCTCAAGTGATCCACTTGTTTTGTAATCCCAAAGTGCTGGGATTACAGGCGTGAGCCGCCATGCCCAGTCTCAGTTTAGTATTTCTGTAGCACCACTTATTTGGGCATCTGTGTTAGGATTTGTAAGTGGAAATAATAGTGGGCCTTTAAACTAAAAACTGTACAGCAAAGGAAGCAATTAACAAAATGAAAAAGCAACCCGTGGATTGGGAAAAGATACATACATACATACATCTAATAAGAAATTAATATCCTAAATTTATAAGAAACTCATGCAACTCAATACCAAAAATGTAAATAACCCAATTTAAAAATGTGCAAAGGACCTAAATTAGACACTTCTCAGAAGAAGAAATTCAGATGGCCAACAAACATATGAAAAGGTGCTCAACAACTCTTAGCATCAGGGAGATGCAAATCAAAACCACACTAAGGTAGCACCCCCCACCTGTTGGGATGGCTATTATGCAAAAGAAAAAAGGTAAGAGTTAGGATGTGGGAAAAAAGAAATGCCTTCTACACTGTTAGTGGGAATGTAAATTATTATATTATACTTGGGAAACAGTATAAAAGTTCCTCAAAATTAAAAATAGGACTACTGGCCAGGTGTAGTGGCTGACACCTGTAATCCCAGCACTTTGGGAGGCTGAGACAGGTGGATCATGTGAGGTCAGGAGTTTGAGACCAGCCTGGGCAACATGCGGAAACCCCGTCTCCACTAAAATTACAAAAATTAGCTGGGCATGGTGGTGCACATCTGTAATCCCAGCTACTCAGTAGGCTGAGGCAGGATAATTGCTTGAACCCAGGAGGTGGAAGTTGTAGTGAGCTGAGATCATGCCACTGCACACCAGCCTGCGTGACACAGCAAGACTCTGTCTCAAAAAAAAAAAAAAAAAAAAAAAAAAGAACTGTAAGATTTAATAATCTCACTTCTCGGTATCTATCCAAAGGATTTTAAAGCAGGCTTGTGAAGAGATATTTGCACTCCCATGTTCATCGCAGCATTATTCACAATAGTCAAGATACGGAAATAGCCTAAATGTCCTTTGACAGATGAATAGATAGGGAAAAGGTGGCATATATACACAGTGGAATAGTATACAGCCTTAAGAAAAAGAAGGAAATTCTGCCATTTAGGACAATGTGGATGAACCTGGAGGACATGCTAAGTAAAATAAGCAAGACACAGAAAGAGAAATACTGCATGATCTCACTTACATGTGGAATCTATAATAGTTAAACTTAATAGAAGCAGACAGTAGCATCATAGTTGCCAGGGGCTGCAGGGACGGGAGTGGGGAGGTGTATGTAGAGATGTTCATCAAAAGGTCCAAACATGGCAGCAAAAGAAAAATGTACAAAAATGACAACTATGAAGAGGTGACAGATATATTAATTAGCTGCAATGTGATAATTTCACAATGTATATCAAAACATCAAGTTGTATATCTCAAATATATAACATTTTTATATGTCAAAAAAATTAAATTGTCACAAAATAAAATATTTAAAAGATAAAGCAATAAATCAGGAGAGGGCTATGACAGATGAAACAAGATAGGCTCTATGTAAATGATGGTTGAAACTAGGTGAGGCATTCACAGGGTTGGGAGGGGACGTATTATACTGTTGTCTATAGTTTTGTGTCTTTGAAAACATCAATTCAAATTTGTGTTTTAAAGGGAAAAAAAGAAATAATAGTGGCCTTGGATTAATGCCCACCTTTGTAGTAAGGATTTTTAGCTGAGAGAATTTTAATCATTTGCATATACTAGTCAATGTAAGGCATGGAGAAATGTAGGCATTAATTTTGTATGGCTTTTCTAAGGACACTGGAAGGAAGAGAATTTAAAATCATGTTCTTTTCAAAAGACTGAAGTCCAACTCTGTTGCGGTCAGCACTTACATGGGCAGAGCCCCACCTGACTCACTTGGCCTGTATCAGGTTACTTTTACTGGGGCTTTAGGAGAGAGTGATAAAACTGTTCTTGTTTGATTTTGGGCCCTTAGGCAGGTTGCTGCTCTGGGGTTAGGTTGCCTTATAAAAAGGTAACTCACCACGCATAACAATGCTTTTTCCTGTTTAAAGAGAGACCTAGTTTTTCTATCAGATGATTTCTTAAGGCAGCACAAAGTAGCCAGACACAAAAAGAGTTAAGATCCAAGCTCTACCAGTTATTAGCTGTGTGATCCCTAACAAGTTATTTAACTTAGAACTCTGGTTTCTTTCTCTGTTTAAAATGGAGATTAAAAGATCTAATTATTGGGGATGTTATGTGAAAGTGGTTTACCAGTCGGGTGCGGTGGCTCACGCCTGTAATCCCGGCACTTTGGGAGGCCGAGGCGGGCGGATCACGAGGTCAGATCGAGACCATCCTGGCTAACACGGTGAAACCCCGTCTCCACTAAAAAATACAAAATACTAGCTGGGTGTGGTGGTGGGCACCTGTAGTCCCAGCTACTGGGGAGGCTGAGGTGGGAGAATGGCGGGAACCCAGGAGGTGGAGCTTGCAGTGAGCCGAGATCGCGCCACTGCACTCCAGCCTGGGCAACAGAGCAAGATTCTGTCTCAAAAAAAATAAAGAAAGAAAGAAAGTGGTTTACTCCAGTGGTTGTCTTCTGTTAGGCACTTCATGAATTGGAATGTTTCCTTTTAGGTCTATGATAATGTTTTTTTCAAAATAAATAACTGTTCTTTCAAATTGGGATTTTTATTTATTCATTTTGTGCATCCCTATAACTTTGAAATTTTATTGTTGGAACTAACATCTATTGTAGAAAAGGAAATTGTTCAGTTTTCAGAATGTCATTTTATAATTATAAAAGGAGATCTCACTTTGGAGAATGAGTGAACCTTGTTTAATGTAGAAATAATGCCTGTTGTTGATATTCACCTTTTAGTATCTGGCAGTGAATCTTTTGTGTAGCAAATGATCAATAAATTTACCTTTTTATCTTATTTATACAGATAGTACACATCCTAAATATGACTTCTGCAAAGATAATTTCTTTTCTGTTACCACCTGATGAAAGTCTTCATTCACTACAGTCTCGTATTGAGCGTGAAACTGGAATAAATACTGGTTCTCAAGAACTTCTTTCAGAGACAGGAATTTCTCTGGATCCTCGGAAACCAGCCTCTCAATGTGTTCTAGATGGAGTTGTAAGAAAATTAATTATAATATCCCTAGAGTATATGAAATCTAGAGGGATTGCATGCCCTGCAATTTTTATGCATACTTGGAATTCCTTGGTCTGGGGAGCACATTCTGTTTTGGTTTTGTCCTACTCCCAACTCTTATCATTGCTTTGCAAGGTGAACAGGATAGAAATGAAACATTTGTTGTTTTGAACTTTGCAAGACTTTTTCTTTGGTGCCAGTTTTCTGCTCCTGTACCCAGACCAAACTGAGGGTCAGGCTGCTTACTCTCTCGGCCCAATAACGAGATGCAGATGAACTGGGAGAGGAGGGAGTTTTTATTTCAGTAACCAGTTACAGGTAGAAGGCCTGGAAATTATCGCCAGACCAACTCAAAATTAGAGAGTTTTCCCAGAGTTTATATATCCTCTAAGCTATATGTCTATGTGTAAGTTTGCATTCTTATCTAAAAACATAAATGATTACTTTAATCTGTAACTAAGGTCTGAGTCTTGAAGACATTCCTCTGGAGCCTCAGTAAATTTATTTACTCTAAATGGGTCCAGGTGCTGGGGTGATTGCCCTTATCTTGTCTCCTATTAAATCACAGAGGTTTGAGGAGTTCCTACAGACCTCCAATAAACTTGTTTGTGGAAGCCTGAGGGGTTTCTTCAGACCCCCAATAAAACATTTAATCGTAAATGGGTCCTATTAAGAATTCCTTCATTATTTTGCTTTTAGCCCCAGGAAGGGCCTGGGTGGAACTCTTGGTAGGCTTTGGTTACATTTCAGCCTTTGTGTAAGGGCACTGGCTCTTCCAGTTTTTTTTTTTTTTTTTTTGAGATAGTCTTGCCCTGTTGCCCAGGCTGAAGTGCAATGGCACAATCTCAGCTCACTGCAACCTCCGCCTCCTGGGTTCAAGTGATTCTCCCTGCCACAGCCTCCCAAGTAGCTGGGATTATAGGCGCCCGACACCATGCCCAGCTAGTTTTCTGTATCTTTGGTAGAGACGGGGTTTCACCACTCCTGACCGACCTCAGGTGATCGACCCACCTCGGCCTCCCTAAGTGCTGGGATTACAGGCGTGAGCCACTGTGCCCGGCTGCTCTTTCAAATCTTTTAGTATTTAACTTCACCACTCAGTGCTGAAACAGTTGTTATGGAGGCCTGTGTTAGTGAGACCTGGCCTGCCACACTCCCACTTATTATTCCTTCTTGGCTTGGTGCAGTGGCACATGCCTGTAATCCCAGGACTTTGGGAACCCAAGGTGAGTGGATTGCTTGAGTTCAGGAGTTCGAGACCTGCCTGAGCAACATGGTGAAGCCCTGTCTGTACAAAAACTACAAAAATTAGCGGGGTTTGATGGTGCACCCCTGTAGTCTTAGCTACTTGGGAGGCTGAGGTGGGAGAATCACTTGAGTCTAGGGAGGTTGAGGCTGCAATGAGCCATGATCACGCCACTGCACTCCAGCCTGGGTGACAGAGCAAGACCCTGTCTCAAACAAAAAAATTTCTTTTCGTATTTGAAGTCCAGTACCCTGAAACTACTGTGAGACCAGCAGTCTCATAGGTCCTGCCAAAGGATGGATGGGTGGTAAAATACGACTGGTCATGACTTTTTTCCCCATTTTTCTTTTTATGACTTTATTGAGGCATATTAATTATCACGTTAGTTCTCATTTAAGGTGTACAATATAGTGATTTTTTGTTTCTTTTTTATTAACTTGTCACTGACTTGATGCTCAATTGCAGTGATTTTTTTTAAAGTAAATTTACCAAATTTTGCAGCTATCACCATAAACCAGCTTAAAAACGTTTCCATTAACAGTCCATTAACTGTTAATCTCCATTCTGCCCACCCCAGGCAACCAGGAATCTATTTTTTATCTCCAAAAGTTTACCTTTTCTGAACATTCCATATAAATGAAATTATGTAATATATAGTCTCCTGTCTGACTTTTTTTACTTGCCTTGTATTTTTGAAGTCCATGCATGTTGTAGCATGTTTCAGTACTTCATTCCTTTTGATTACTGAATAGTTTTTTCACTGTATATATCTTTTTGCATTTGTTCTTTGGGTTTTGGTGATTGTTTACTTTAGCCCATACAAAAGTTTGGGTCTTTTTCCTCAACAAAAATATGGACTCTGTTATTTGTAAGAGATATGCTAATACACATTGACTTTGATTATTTGCATTTCAAAGTAGAAAATCTGGTGCATAAGTATTTAGAAAACCTAGGATTTTCAAAGATCCTTGAGCAGGATTTTAATTGTTTGTTTCTTTTTCAGAGAGGCTGTGATAGCTATATGGTTTATTTGTTTGATAAAAGTAAAACTGTGTATGAAGGGCCATTTGCTTCCAGAAGTTTATCTGATTGTGTAAATTATATTGGTAAGTCCAGTCCGTTTAGCAGCTGAGCTTTAAACATGAATTAATTTAACTTTAACTCTCAGTATGATTAGTAGAAATGGACTTTCGATGTTGTGTTCTGTATCTCATACTTGAAGTTTCTATATGGAGTTATATGAGAATTCTGAAAAATTGATTTATATAGTTTGGAAGGTGAAGAGATAGATATTAAATCTCCACCAGATCATTCATTTAAGAGAAGATTTACTTTCTTGAGGATGGGACTCTCACAGGAGAATGAAACTTCACTGTTAGTTAAACCTACTTTTTAATTGTCTCTTCATTGTCTAAGCATGTTAAAGTATTTATTTCATTTTTCCTGTGAATACTGCTTGATGTTCAAATGTTTTAATTTATCATGTGAAAATTATTCTTTTCTTTTGAACAAGTTAAGTGTTTGATCACTGTATGTCTACCCAAATAAAATAAAGCACAAAATTACAAAATCAACAACAAAATTGAGCAGAGGGGCTGAAATATATGTAATCTTACTTTTAAAAAAAATCTTTTTATTAGTTTTCTTTTGAAATTTTCTTTTAAATTGAGGCAGTTTACATAGAGTGAAATTTATGTAGCATGAAATTCACAGATCATATATTTTGATAACTTTTGACAAATTTATATACTTGTGTAATCCACACCACAGTCATGATGTAGATCATTTCCTTCACCTCAGAAAGTTCCCTCATGTCTCTTTTCAGTCAACTCCCCTTGCCCCAGACTTTATTATTACTATTTTACTAATGAACTTTTTTTTTTAAAGAATGGTTTTAGATTTGCCAAAAAATTGGGCAGATAGTACAGAGTTTTCATATAACTCCCCTCACTCGCGCATGTAGTTTTTCCTATTGTTAACATTTTACCTGGGAGGTGGAGGTTGCAGTGAGCCAATGTCACACCACTGCATTTCACCCTGGGCGACAGAGTGAGACCCTTTCTCAAAAAAATAAATAAAAAACATAAAATATTAAAAAATATTAAAAAGTTAAAAAAATCTATTTTACATTAGTATGATGCATTTGTTACATTTAATGAACCCATATATTATTAATTGAAACCCATACATTATTCACATTTCCTTCATTTTTACCTAATATCCTTTTTCTGTTCTAAGATCTCATCTAGGATACATTATATTTAGTTGTCATGTCTCTTTAGCTCCTCTTTGCTGTGACATTTTCTCAGACTTCAAATAGTCCTTGTTTTTGATGACCTTGACAGTTCTAAGGAATACTAGTCAAGTATTTTGTAAGATGTCCCTCTGCTGAAATTTGTCTTTTTTTTTTTTTGAGACGGAGTTTCGCTCTTGTCACCTAGGCTGGAGTACAGTGGTGCAATCTTGGCTCACTGCAACCTCCACCTCCCGGGTACAAGCGATTCTCCTATCTCAGCCTCCCGAGTAGCTGGGATTACAGGCACGCACCACCATGCCCAGCTAATTTTTGTATTTTTAGTAGAGACAGGGTTTTGCCATGTTGGCCAGGCTGGTTTCGAACCCCTGACCTCAGGTGATCCGCCTGCCTTGGTCTCCCAAAGTCCTGACATTACAGGCATGAGGCACCGTGCCTGGCCTTTTTTTTTTTTTTTCTTCATGATTAGACTGGGGCAGTGGGTTTTTGAGAGAAAGGTCACGGAAGTAAGATTGCAGTGAATTGAGATCATGCCACTACATTCCAGCCAGGGTGACAGAGCGAGACCCTGTCTCAAAAAAAAAAAAAAAAAAAAGAGGGAGTTATGTTCTGCTCTTTTAAGATAGAGTATCTACATAATTTATTTGGAATTCTTCTGCATAGGAGATTTGTCCTTGCTCTCCCATTTATTAATTTCAGTCATTTATTTATATTAGTATGGATTAATGGATTTTTAAAAATACTTTATATTATAATCCAATACTAGTTTATTCTGTTGCTCAGATTGTTCCAGCTTTGGCCATTTGGAGCTCTTTCAGTGGGCTCCTGTACCTCTTTTACATGCCCCCATCAATGAGTTGTTTTTGTTTTATTTTGTTTAAAAAGTTTGATTTTTTTTTTTTTTTTTTTTTTGGTCTGTTGTAGGAAGCCACAGGTAGAAGTTTGGGTATACAATAGGAGAAAGGTTAATTGAGAATATTAATAATTATTAAGGGAGGCAAATATTTTTTCATTTATATAGCTTAATTTATTTAAAGTCTGCTTCAGATGATGTGTTTTCTCGTAGGAACACTAGTGTAGCAAGTTTTGCCTAACCTTTCTCTGAAGTTTTCATTAGAAAAAAGTAACAGAGAATATACTTGCTGCCTTACAATATGAATCTGTTTCAGTGTTGGAGAATTCCGTATGTTAAAATAGAATTTCATTGAACTTAACACATGGTTTTAGAAAAGTAGCATTCCCTTTACCAAAGAATGGGTAAGATAAAAATCACAAATAGATAACTTTTTAAAGTCTGGCATTGAAGAAAGCATATTTTATTAAACTGCCATTTACCATCTGTGTTTTCTTTTTTTTTCCTTTTTTTTGAGGTAGAGTCTCACTCTGTCACCCAGGCTGGAGTACAGTGGTATGATCTTGGCTCACTGTAACATCCACCTCCTGGGTTCAAGCGATTCTTTTGCCTCAGCCTCTTGAGTAGCTGGGACTGTAGATGTGCATCACTACACCCAGCTAATTTTTATATTTTTAGTAAAGACAGGGTTTCACTATGTTGGCCAGGCTGGTCTTGAACTCCTGACCTCAAGGGATCCGCCCACCTTGGCCTCCCAAAGTGCTGGGATTACAGGCGTGAGCCATCACACCTGACTCTTGTGTGTATTCTTAATGCTGGATTGTTGGTCCAGGATATGAAATTTATTATTTAGAGGTAGGAAAGACCCAGAGGAGATGGGACTTGATTTAGAACTTGAAAGAAATAATTTGGATTAGCAGAGAGAAAAAGAGTATTCCAGGTTGCAGAAAAGCAAACAAAAAAGACAGATACAGGAATAATCTCAGGCTCTGTGAGTGTAGTGATTATGTCATTCATTTTTTTTTCCCCCTTGTATCTGTAGCATGGCTTATGTATTGCAGGTGCTCTGTAAATGTATATTGAACTGAATTAAATGGAAACAAGTGGCTCTTTTAGCATCAGTTTCTAGCATCTATGGGAATCCTGTTTTTGTAGACAGGAAATCACAGAGAACAATAAATCAACTCTAAAATCCTCAAAAGTAACTAACTCCCTTGCCCCTTTTCTCATCTTCTTGTATATAGTACAGGACAGCAAAATACAGCTTCCAATTATACAACTGCGTAAAGTGTGGGCTGAAGCAGTGCACTATGTGTCTGGACTAAAAGAAGACTACAGCAGGCTCTTTCAGGGACAAAGGGCAGCAATGTAAGTGGATTCTGTTGTTTATAAGCACAATGCAATGTGCATCATATACTCAAGAATTAATCTTGCTGGTTTTCACTAATCAATATTTCATGTAATAGTAACATACTGGGCCAATTTGAAGTGTAATGTTCTGATTAAACTTGTAGAATTCTCACTAATGGACTGAGACCATTCTATTATAATGACTTGAGGGTAATAATTCCCATATGGTCCTAGTACAAAAAGATTGTTTATCACAGAATATTATAGGCAGGAAGTCTTTAGAGATCAGATTCTAGAGATCAGTTATTTCTCATAGATTGATAATAGAAACTTAGGCTTTGGCTTTGTGGCAGTTTATGTTTTTAAATTATTGTTCAATGTTTCTGAATGCTGAATCCTGATAATATCTTTTTTCTTTTTTCTTTTTTTTTTTGCTATGGTTTAGGTTAAGTCTTCTTAGATATAATGCTAACTTAACAAAAATGAAGAACACTTTGATCTCAGCATCACAACAACTGAAAGCTAAATTGGAGTTTTTTCACAAAAGCATTCAGCTTGACTTGGAGAGATACAGCGAGCAGATGACGTATGGGATATGTAAGTGTCTGAGTAATATATTTCAAAGGAATATCTGGTTTCTTGAAGCCATCTGTTGTTTTGCCTTCTTAACTCAGCCAGTTGTTTTACTTACCTTCACATTAGAACAGGAGACAGGACAACTTAGATTACCATAAACCATGTTTGTTTTGAATGTTACCTCTTTTTAAAAATTTGCTTAGTTGAGCAATTTAGTTTCACAATTGGGCTGAAATTATTTAGTTCCAAAAAAATACAGAAGCAATTTAATAATCTTGAATTTCAAACATAATTTAAAAATAAATACAAAATCTGGACTTCTTAGCCAGTGCTGTGGACTGAATGTTTGTGTCCCCCATGAAATACATATGTTGAAATTCTGACCCTGAAGGTGAAGGTGTTGGTAGGTGGAGTCTTTGGGAAGTGACTAGGTCATGAGAGTGGAGCCTTCGTGTTTGGGATTAATGCTCTTACAAAAGAGGCCTGAATGAGATCCCTCACCCCTTCTGCATGTGAGGACAGAGCAAGAAGATAGTCATCAGGAACCAGAAAGCAGGCCCTCACTAGATACCAAATCTGCCTTGTTCTTGGACTTCCCAGCCTTCAGAACTATAAGACATAAATTTCTATTGTTTTTATGGCCCTTAGTCTATGGTATTTTGTTATAGTAGCCCAAATGGACTAAGACAACTAGGGGAGTCTTAAACTACTTACCTTTCTGTAAATAATGACACAAATATTCTAAGGCTATGATTTTTTTCAAACCATCTACTGTGGAGTCCTACTATTTTTTGCATACACGATCTCCAAATTTTCAATATTTGACTCTAAGCTTATCTCCTTCAGATGCACTAAGGAAATGTAAAAAGACAGAGTTAAAATATGAGTAAATTGAAGGAGTCACTACCAGCATTTCTGTTTTCTTTTATAAAACAAATCCTTTTTAGGAAACAAATACTGCTTGTACACTTGTCCTGAGCAAGGTATGTGTATCTCAGAATAAACAATCAATAGTGTCCAGTTGGGTGAATGAATTTACTCTCCAGAACTGGTTTTATTAATATTATTGTTATTTTATCTCTATTTGTATATTATTGACATTCTGGCAAGTGATAAAATATAATTATTTCATTAAAATACCTTAGACTTGTCAAAGGCTTATTATACAATTGTTAAAGAAGAATGAGGTAGATCAGTATGTGCTTTATTAAAAGATCACCTGGGTCTTTAGTTGACAGAAAAGTTTTAAATTGTGGGAAAAAATAAAGAGTATACCGGTGGTTTCACTTGCGAGGGAGCAGGGTATGTGTCTATGTAACAAATAATCATAGTAAGGTCCCTTGAGGTGGATGGTAGAAGGGAGGAAGAGAGAGTCTTTTCTGTTTATATCCTTTTATAGTATTTAATTTTTAAAAATCACATTCAAGTATTAAATTTCTTTTCTGTCCAGGTGTGGTGACTCACGCCTGTAATCTCAACACTTTGGGAGGCCGAAGCTGGTGGATCCCTTGAGCTCAGGAGTTCAAGACTAACCTGGGCAATGTGGGGTAGAACCCCATCTCTACAAAAAATACAAAAATTAGCCGGGCATGGTGGTGCACACCTTAGCTATTCAGGAGGCTGAGGTGGGAGGATCACTTGAGCCCTGGATATAGAGGTTGCGGTGAGCCGAGATCATGCCACTGCACTCCAGCCTGGGTGACAGAGTGAGACACTATCTCAAAAAAAAAAAAAATTGGTTTTTCCTTTATCCACCTATCTCCACACTGATACACATATTTTTTTTTTTAAGAAAACAGTCGGCCGGGCACAGTGGCTCACGCCTGTAATCCCAGCACTTTGGGAGGCCGAGGCGGGTAGATCACGAGGTCAGGAGATCAAGACCATCCTGGCTAACATGGTGAAACCCCATCTCTACTAAAAAATACAAAAAATTAGCCGGGCATGGTGGTGGGTGCCTGTAGTCCCAGCTACTCGGGAGGCTGAGGCAGGAGAATGGTGTGAACCTGGGAGGCGGAGCTTGCAGTGAGCTGAGATTACACCACTGCACTCCAGCCTGGGTGACAGAGTGACTCCGTCTCCAAAAAAAAAAAAGAAAGAAAACAGTCATCTTCTGTATTCATTTCCTAAGGGTTCTATAACCTGTGTGGCTTCAGCAATAGAAACTTATTGTCTCACAGCCCTGGAGGCTAAAAGTCCAAAATCGAGGTGTTGGCAGGGCCATGTTTTCTCTGAAATCCGCAGAGAAGAATCTTTCCTTGTTTCTGTCTAGCTTCTTATGGTCTTATGGTCTGCCAGCCATCACTGGCATTCCTTGGCTTACAGTTATAGCACTTTAATCTGTCTCCATTGTCACATAGCATTCTCCCCTGTGTATCTGTATCCTGTGTCTCGTCTCTTCTAAGTACACGGGTCATACTGGATTAAGAGCCCAGACCATTCCTGTATGAGTATTAATTTATCTAATTACTTCTGTAACGACCTTATTTCCAAATAGGTCACATTCTGAGATATTGGGGGTTAGGAATCCCACATATCTTTTGGGGGGCCACAATTCAACTCATAATACATCTTTGATGTTGATATGGCAAGGAGGCAGGCAGGCCAGTAATTAAAGATATGGCTATTTCTGAGATAACCAATTTAGACTTTTCTTTTAGCTTCAGAAAAAATGCTAAAAGCATGGAAAGAAATGGAAGAAAAGGCCATCCACTATGCTGAGGTAAAATCATTGACCACATTCTGTGTACTTATTAATTCTTGATGTCTCCATTAGAAACTGTCTTTGGTTTTGGTATATAAAGAGCATTTTTCATGTCATTCCCAAAATTCAGACAAAATTCTAGTAGATGCTTTGTATATAAATAGGGAAGTATCATAGTGATTAAAAACAAGGGCTTTTTGAAAATTACCTAGTGCCTTACTGAGCTTCAGTTTCCTTTATTTATTTATTTTTTGAGACAGGGTCACTGTGTTGCCCAGGTTGGAGTGCAGTGGCATGATCAAAGCTCACTGCAGCCTCAACTTCCCAGGCTCAAGCAAGTCCTCCCATCTTAGCCTCCTGTGTAGCTGGGACAAGAGGTGCACCACCATGCCTGGCTAACTTTTACATTTTTTTAGTGACAGGGTCTCACTATATTGCCCAGACTTGCATCAAACTCCTGGGCTTAAGCAGTTCTCCCATCTCAGCCTCCCATAGAGCTGGGATTACAGGCATGAGCCACCACATCCAGCTAGTTTCCATATTATGGGCACAATTTCTTTTCTAGTAGGGTTATGAAGATTAAATGGGAGTCAGTATTATTTTTGTGACTGGTTTAGATAGGATGGCTGCACATCTGGGTTTAGTGGGACTGTCCCAGTTTATACCTAATATCTTGCCATAATTATCAGTAGTAGTCCCTTTCACTCTCAAAATGACACTGGTTTGGACAATAAATTATATGGTGTCCCTAGGTATAGATCATTCTCTAGGTGGCAGATTTTTTTCCCCTTATCCTGTACATTTGTCCATGGTCCTAAGTTATTACACTCCTTAATGTCAGTACTTACCCTGAGGATGTGGGTGGGAATACCCGTGGTGTCCTGGGGTGGGAAATACAAGGTCTTTATCTTTTTGTGTCCCTATTCAAGGCAGTGGGGGCCAGGAGGCAATCAAAATCATAGAGCCAAGATACAAGTAATACCAGTGGTTTTGGTCTTTCTTGTTAGTTGACACCTGTTGTACCTTTTTGCATCTCCAGAGGTAAAAGCAAATACTAGTAGTTTACTGTTGTCAGGAGAGAAAAGAGAGAAGACTAAGAATAAGTGTGTTCTTATGTGAAGGATTAAGTGTCAGAATCTGAAGAATAGAAAGGCTTTAACAATATCAGTGTTTCATATTATATTATTTAGTTCTCTAATGAAGCAGCAGGTCATTCTGTATCCTTAAGATCTGAATTTTGTTTCCAATGATGTAGTGGTAAGCCTTTCATTTCCTTTGTATTTTCATCATATTTTAGGTTGGTGTCATTGGATACCTGGAGGATCAGATTATGTCTTTGCATGCTGAAATCATGGAGCTACAGAAGAGCCCCTATGGAAGACGTCAGGGAGACTTGATGGAATCTCTGTAAGGATGTACTTGTGTTGTTGGTCTTGACATCTGTTATATTTTGTAGCAGATTGTTCTTTCTGCTTACATCTGGCAAATTAAACCTCTATGTGGTTATTGTCTCTAGTTTTCCTTTCCCCAAATATATTGGGATTATCTTTAAAGTGGAAGCTTTTTCTTAGTCACAGGAAACTTCAGAAATAATTCTTTGGGTTGGCCTTTTTTGGTTTTGAATAAAAGCATTTATTTCATATGAGTGTTAAGAATTTTCCAAGTATAACTAAGTTACAAACTGTTTCCCTACTCATAGTACCTGTGGTCCAAGGTATTGACTCTTAAATGCCCTAAAACTTGAGATTTTTTCTTAATTAAAGTTCCGGATTAAAAACTTCAGATATTTTCTCTAATTATAGGTCATAATTTTTGTCTGTTTCAGTGTCTCTGGTGCAGAGATGTCCTCATGGTAGATCATAATAGATATGAACTATATTAAACTTTGCATTTTAAGAACTTGTGTAGTTCTTATTACTCAATAAAATGCTCTGTGAAATACTCGTTGGCAATATGAACTTGCTTTAAAATGGGTTCATTATTCAAATAAAATAATATTGTTTCAAGTTGTAGATTATTGAAGTCATTAAATTACCTTCACATATCAGAGCATGTTTTCTCTTTTACAGGGAACAGCGTGCTATTGATCTATATAAGCAGTTAAAACACAGACCTTCAGGTAAGACACTTCCATCACAGTGCTTGAAGGCATTTTAGGTAACTATCACTAGCCTAACAAATGTGGGGGATTAAATATTTTTAAGTTAAAAATTTTCTTGGGCCAGGCGCAGTGGCTCAAGCCTGTAATCCCAGCACTTTGGGAGGCCGAGACGGGCGGATCACGAGGTCAGGAGATCGAGACCATCCTGGCTAACACAGTGAAACCCCGTCTCTACTAAAAAATACAAAAAACTAGCCGGGCGAGGTGGCGGGCGCCTGTAGCCCCAGCTACTCGGGAGGCTGAGGCAGGAGAATGGCGCAAACCCGGGAGGCGGAGCTTGCAGTGAGCTGAGATCCGGCCACTGCACTCCAGCCTGGGCGACAGCGCGAGACTCCCTCTCAAAAAAAAAAAAAAAAAAAAAAATTTTCTTAAAGCTGCAGAATAAATTCCAGTTTTGTATTACCATTGAGACATGGTATAATAAGTTTTAAGTTTGTGAGAATTTAGGAGATTAAAAAGAGAAAGTAACAGAGAAAATGAGGTAGAAAAATTTTAGAAGGGGACGTGAAAAGAAAGAATGGAAGACAGAAAAAAGGAACTCAAAGCGGAAGCAGCAGCAAGAAAATGTTTAGAAAGATGAAAAAAAATAAGTGTTGCTTAAGATTGGAGAGGTTGGGCAGGTTGTGGTGGCTCACACCTGTTATCCCAGCACTTTGGGAGGCCAACGTGGGTGAATTACCTGAGTTCAGGAGTTCAAAACCAGCTTGGCCAACGTGGTGAAACCCCATCTCTACTAAAAATGAAAAAGTTAGCAGGGCGTGGTGGCGCGTACCTATAATACCAGCTACTTGGGAGGCTGAGGCAGGAGAATCGCTTGAACCTGGGAGGAGGAGGTTGCAGTGAGCCAAGATCGCACTACTGCACTCCAGCCTGGGTGACAGAGTGAGATTCTGTCTCAAAACAAAACAAAACAAAAAAATACTTAGAGAGGTTGGAAAGAATTTGAGGCAATGGGTTCAGGTTTGGAATGGTTAGAGGGAAGGCCTGTGCTGTTCTAGGCCAAAGCAGATTGCCTTGAAAATAATGCCTTCATCTGCACTGGTCACTGATGTCTTATTTTGTTGGTAAAGCAATTCCTGTTGAACACCTGCTAAATACTGAGTAAGGTCTGCTGGAAAGAGTACTGGATGGGGAATCAGAAGGCTTGAATTCTAGATTGAGTAATTTACCTACTGTTACCTCAGGCAAATCTCCTTTTCCCATTTCCTTCTGCAAAATGGGGTGGAAACCTAGCGTTCCTACTCAGTGAGAATGTTGTGACAGTGTATTTAAGAGGATGTTTGTGAAAATGCTTTGAAAACTATAAACTGTTATGTACCTGCAAGATATTATCATTTAGTTAAAAATTTGTTTTGAAGGGTAACAGAAGAAATAAAGTCTGTGCCCTAATGTGCATTGTACTTAAATGCATATGTTAAAAAAAGATATACTTTTACACTTTAAAATTTGTAGACACATAGCAACACATGCAAATTAATATACATGTGAAATTGTATTTCATATACTCTTTTCACATTTAAAAAAGAACACTATCTCCTCTTATACTGCTTTTATTTTACTGAAATGTATTCAGTTTAGTCTGACCAGCAGTTCTCAAAATGTAGCATATGGACCTGTGAGAATCCTTGAAACTTTGTCAGAGAGTCTGTGAGGTTAGAACCATTTTCATAATAAGATGTTATTTGTGTTTTTCACCGTGTTGACATTTTCACTGATGGTGCAACGTAAAATGGCTTGCACTTTAGTATGAATCAAGGCACTAGCACCAAACTATGCTAGTAGTAGTTATATTTTTTATCACCATGCATTCACAGTTTTTAAAAAATGACAGTTTCACTTAAACATGTTCTTGATAAAGCAGTAAAAATAGTATTTTATTTAAATCTCAACCTTTGAGTATGTGTTTTTAATATTTTGTGTGATGAAATGGGAAGTACTCATAAAAGTATTTCTTCTACACAGTGAAGTATGATGGTCGTCTTAAGGAAAACCACTTCAGTAATTGTTTACATTGCTAGTTGTCTGGCCTCTTTCAGGGAAGACACCATTTTTACTTGGAAGAGCAACTGTCAGGCAAACTATGATTATTCAGATTTGCATACATGAGATAATTTCTAAGAAATTAAATGAAAATAAAAAGTATAGCGCGCTTACTACTTTAAGGGAAAAAAAACAATTATTTGTAGTCAATGATAACATTCCATGTTTCAAGCAAAAAGAATTTTAGAAAACTTGTATTTACCAGCTGGAATTTGTCAGCTTCTCAGCACTTAAAAACTTTTCTGACAAGATCAGTGGTATATCAGAAAGATTTGCAAAAATGTAAAACAGTGCAAGGGTTCTCCCTGAAATTTTTTTGATTTAGAAAATAATGTTTTTTTGGTTTTTGTTTTTAGAGGTGGGCTCTCGCTATGTTGACCAGGCTGCTCTTGGACTCCCTGGGTTCAAGCAATCCTTCCACTTCAGGTTTCCAAGTATCTCAGGTAGCAGTAGCCAGGTGAAAGGAGGTGGCTCTCGTAGATATGAGTATTCTGTGTAAAGACATGTATGTATAGTACTTAGCATGTCTGAGGAAAGAGAAAACCTAAATAAAGGGTTTTTTTTGTATGTTTGTTTTTAATAAAAACATGTTAGTAGGCAATAGGTTTGTTATTTTTAAATGAATTAAGACACGAGTATTTTTAAATTTCTGTTTAATTCCTGAAAAACCCTTTGGGGTTCTCAAGAATTTTCTCATGTAAAGGTGTCCTGAGACCAAAAAGTTGGAGAACTGCTTATCTAGACTATTCTCAGAAGCTTGGCTGCTCAGGAAAGAAGAGAGGTGGGTGAGTAGCTAAAAGGAGATGTAGAGCCAAGGGAGGTCACTTCTCAGAAGGAAGACTTAAACATCAGGTGTCACATGATGATGTTTTAGTTAACAACAAGCTGTGCATACTATGGTAGTCCCATAGAGATTATACTACTGTATTTTCATTATGTATTTTCTATGTTTACATGCACAAATACTTACCAATGTGTTACAGTTGCCTACAGTATTCAGTACAGTCACTTGGTGAACAGGTATGTAGCCTATTGTCAAAAGGCTATACCATACAGCTTAAGTGTATAGCAGGCTATACCATCAGGGTTTGCATAAGTACACTGTAGTATTCACACAGTGACGAAAGTGGCCAGTGATGCATTTCTCAGAACATATACTCGGGGCCAAAAAACCCTGTGGAGAGGGAGGTCCCTGAACAAGTTGAGAGATTGGCTCCAAAGAACAGTAGGAGGGATTAGCCTTGATACTATTGATATTGGAAAGAGAATGAGTGTGGATACAGATACTTTTTTGGGAGTAGAGGTTGGAAGGTCAGGGTCTTACTGCCTTATGGCCTCTTATCCTGCAGTGGTAAGTGAGGTTAACTGAAATGGAAAAGGTGATGACCCCATAGATTTGAATAGTGTGCTAAAGACTTCTAAAACCCACTGTGTGCAGTGGAAGATGTTGCTAACCCAAAACATACATCAAGAATCCAGGCCAGGTGGCTCATATCTGTGATACTAGGGGCTTTGGGAGGCCGAGGCAGGAGGATCGTTTGAGGCCAACAGTTTGAGACCAGTCTAGGCAACATAGTGAGACCCCATCTCTACAAAAAATAAATAAATAAATAAATAAATAAATAAATAAATAAATAAAAATTTTAAAAAGCTGGGTGTGGTAGTGTATGCCTGTAGTCCCAGCTACTTGGGAGGCTGAAGTAGCAGGATCGCTTGAGGCCCAGGAGGTCGAGGCTGCAGTGAGCCAAGATTACACTATTGCACTTCAACCTGGGTGACAGAGCAAGACTTTTTCTCTAAAAAAAGAAAAGTACCCAGAGCAGAAATGAAAAACCTGTGAATTAGCAGTGGCAAATAGTGAATAGTAATATTAATTTTTTGTTGATAATTTAGTAGCTTGGATATAGGAACTGATAGAGCAGATGGTTGGATTAATCCAAGGTTAGGATTTTGCTGATGGAATAAGAGGATAAAAAGGTTGAAGATGTTAACAAAATAGTGATTTAAGTAATAGAAGTTGTTGTAGCTAGATTAAAATATTAAAATCTAAGATTTCAAATACAGCAAGTCCAATTCTTTTTCTGTAATCAATATTTCTGGGCCAGGTGTGGTGGCACATGCCTGTAATCCCAGCTAATCTGGAGGCTGAGGCAGGAGAATCGCTTGAACCAGGGAGGCGGAGGTTGCAGTGAGCCAAGATTGTGCCACTGCATGCACTCCAGCCTGGGCGACAGAGCTAGACTCCATCTCAAAAAAAAAATTGTGACTCCCAGTCTTCTGGCTAATGAATCAGATTCCACAGATACACAGTGATAGCATTTGTTTAGGTTATATTTTTAAAAACTTTGAGGTAGCCCTGTCAACATAGCACGAAGCTCAGAAATAAATTGCTATCCAGGTAGCTTGAGTGTCACCTTGAGTGACAAACTGTAACAAGATTGTGTCTGTCATTGGGGCCTATTATATAATCACACTTGATTTGTGGCCTCTGTTGTCTTTTCTAGCTTAGAGTTGACTTGAATCTCTTGTTCATCTGAAAATGGTTAAAACCAGCTTTCTTCATCCTTTAGCCTTGGAGAAGGCTAAAGTTCTGAGGGCTTTCACTATCTAAAAGAGCTAGTTATATGAGAAGGCTCTTGGCTTGGTCCATGGTATTTAGGAAGGAATGCTGTTTGGAGAAGAACCTTTTTGGAGCCTGTCATTTGCTTGTTGGTGAGGAGGAGACAACACAGATGTGTGGGGAATAAAGATGGGCTATGGGGGAGGTATTTGGAGTGATAACAAAGGACACAACATTTTTTAAACCTTCTTTGATGCTCCTTTCATCATTTCCTTTTTGGTAAAATGGGGGTAACAAAAATAGTCCTCACAGGACTGCTGTGAGGATTAAATGGGAAAATTATAAGCAGAGAGTAGCAAATATTATTATTATTATTGCATTTAGGCTTAATTATTGTCCAAAGAAAATACCAGCATGATGCATGAGCAACTTTCAACTCCTTTAGCCATTTTCTGAAATATAACAATTAATGATAGTTTTTTGGTTTTTGTTGTTGTTGTTGTTGTTTTAAATTGAGGACACATTATAAATTGTAGAACTCATTGTGACCAACAGCTATCCCAATTGAGGGTATCTGGCTGCTGCCAGTTAAGGCTTTAAGATGTCATACTGCCCTCAAATGGAACTTTCAGGCTGTCTGTAGGTCCCTTTACTAGTTGGTTTCAGTGAGCGTTTTTCAAAATTTTTCTGGGCTGTAAACAGATGGAAAAACATGAAATTCCAAGCAACCTAGTTCAAGGGCCTCCTTCCTTTAGGCAATGAAAGTTTGATGAATTGTCCTACTGTTTCTAAATATGTGGTTAATCATCCAAGAAAAATTGTTCTCTTGGCCAGAGGCTGCATTTGTGTCTGGGGCTTGGGTTAGTATGGGTTAAAGATAGCCAAGACTATTCTTCTCAAGCACAGGCAACTAAGGTCTCTTACTGATAAATTTATATATACATTATACACATACAAACTTTATTTTTTATATATAACTAGATTTTATTTATAGGTAATCTTTATATCTTTTAACCCAATTTTTAATTTAAATGGAGATATTTATTAATTAAAATTAGTTTCAGAGTTTCAGGGATTTTTGAGGAATTTTTTGTTTGGAGGTTGATATGTTACAGAAGAAAGATTATACCCACTGACTGATGTCTTTTATAGATCACTCCTACAGTGACAGCACAGAGATGGTGAAAATCATTGTGCACACTGTGCAGAGTCAGGACCGTGTGCTCAAGGAGCTGTTTGGTCATTTGAGGTAGGAAAATTGCTTCATTTCCTACTGAAGAACCAGGATACGTTTATCTTGTTCCTCTCAAAGTACAAATGCCCTCTTTGGTAAAGTATACTTACCCAGGAAGGATTCTGAAAGTACCTTGGGTAGCTTGGCCATAGCTATTTGCATTTATGTGTCCTTTTGTATGCATTACTTTGGAGATCAGTCATTAAATCTGATGCTGATTGTGGTTCATTTCCTCAGCTGGGTTTTGGGAATATGGTATACATACAGTCTTGGGGAACATGTAAGTGTCTGACACTGATTTAATCTCTCCAGCAAGTTGTTGGGCTGTAAGCAGAAGATTATTGATCTACTCCCTAAGGTGGAAGTGGCCCTGAGTAACATCAAAGAAGCTGATAATACTGTCATGTTCATGCAGGGAAAAAGACAGAAAGAAATATGGCATCTCCTTAAAATTGCCTGTGTAAGTAATTATTAATGAATTATTTAATGTGACATTGAGTTGCTGTTATTCCCTGCAAAGGGGATTTTTATCAGCATGAGGTGAGCCCTCTTGAACACATTTTGTGCTGGCATGTATATATTTTGCACTGGCATGAAATGACGTCCATGTTCCTTGCTTGGTGTCCAGACTAGCAGTTGAGATGCAGGACTTAATTATCATCTCTCCTTTCCAATTTCTCTGTTGTTATACTCCTCTTAGCCCTTGACCACTGTGGTATTCCAACCCAACTTGGGGATAGATGTACCTGACTAGATAATGAAACTGACCATCTATTCAACTGGGTTTTTTTTCTCTCTTCAACTAAAATGGTATAAGATGAATGGATACATTTGGTTTTAGTCAATGAAGAAAGGGGCCAAGGACAGTTTACTAACAGTGTGTAAAGGTGGGAATAGTTTTGCACTGAAATACTCTGGTTGTGCATATAAGTAGTAATGGAAATGTAAGTCTTAGGAATATGGTAAGAAATTGTGTGAATCAACAGAGATGCTTGCCTGTAATCTTTTGATGATTTTTTTTCTTTTCCTTCAGACACAGAGTTCTGCCCGGTCCCTTGTAGGATCCAGTCTAGAAGGTGCAGTAACCCCTCAGACGTCAGTATGGCTGCCCCCGACTTCAGCAGAACATGATCATTCTCTGTCATGTGTGGTAACTCCTCAAGATGGGTGGGTTTACTTTGTAACAATAGATAGCTGTGTTTTCATAGCAGTGGTATAGGAATGAGGCAGTAGTTGTTAAGGTAGTCTTCTGTGCCTTCAGACCAGGGTTGAGTCCTGACTATCCCTTTGTAATAATCTTAGGCAACTTATTTGACTTTTTTGATGTTCATATTTCCTCACCTGTAAAACAGGAATGTCTCATAGAACTGTTGTGGAAATTTGATTAGACAATGTATATAAAGTGCTTGGGAAATAAATGTTCAGCAAATGTTGCTTATTATTAGCTCAGTCCAAGTTCTAAGTCTTTTATTGGCTTATTACTTCCTTTAACTCAAACCTTATTCCTTCATTAACAGTTTATAAGAAATTATGCTATCATTTTGCATTTATCATTTTGGGGATCCTTGATACCCTTCTAATAAATTTTTGAGATCTATTTTATAACTTTGTATTTCTAAGATTAGACTTTTTTCAATGTTTTAAATCAGTTTTGCAAGTAAGAACTCAAATTCCAAGCCCTATATTTTATTAATTCCTACTCTTTTGGTAAAGCTGAATGACTATCCATTTCTGTTATTTTCTCAGCATAAGGTGTGCCGTATCCAAAGCCAGTGGCTCTTTGCTAGCTTGTGTATTGTCGCTTTTCTCACAACTCATGGAGACCTCTACAGCACCAGCATTTCCTGGAAACTCTGCCCATAATTAGTTTTGCAGAAGAGCAGCCATGTTACATCACTGCTCAGGAGGTCATGCAGTTGCACATTCTGTACTCTACTTTTATGAGAGAAAAGCACATGGCAGGAAGGCAAGCTGATATCAGGTATTTTATTTTTTTAAAGAAAGGAAGTTCCAGGGTATATATCTTGGGGTCATTATACATGTGGCCCAATGCAGTACATCTACAACTGTAGCACAGGCTATAATTAAATATATGGACTTTACAAAATATTCCAGTAATCAGAGTTGAAGGAAGTAAAATTTAATACTTTACTTACTTTTATGCCTTTATTAAAGGCATTTAGGTTTTTTTGGCAGATGCTAATGTTTGCAAATGTCACCGCAATACAGGTAATTTCCAATTTGAGGTGTGGTTGTTTGCAAAAGTATATGTGACATACTTTCAATGTATTTTCTAGAAGGAACACATTATATTTTATTTTGAGACGGAATCTCACTCTGTCGCCTAGGCTGGAGTGCAATGGCACAGTCTTGGCTCATTGCAACCTCCGCCTCCCAGATTCAAGCAATTCTCCTGCCTCAGCTTCCCAAGTAGCTGGGATTATAGGCGCGTGCCACCATATCTGGCTAATTTTTGTATTTTAGTAAAGACAGGGTTTCACCATGTTGGCCAGGCTCGTCTTGAACTCCAGATCTCAAGTAATCCACCTGCCTTGGCCTTCAAAAGTGCTGGGATTACAGGCATGAGCCACCGTGTCCAGTTAGAATACACTGTATAAGAAAATTGATTTCAATTATTATGTACCTGTGGTACTTAACTACCAAGGATTGGGAACTATTTGGCCACAATTTTTCCATCTGTTGGATAAGAGCTGAATCAGAATGTCGTGCTGAGAGTGACTATCATCCATGACCTAAAATGGACTATTGTTAGGGGACTGAAGTTGGCAAAGGGAGAAGAGAGAGGCCATGTAGAAGAGGAAAGCATGAAGGTAGAAACCACAAGCAGGATTGCCTTCACATATGAACTTCCAGGGATACTTCTTGGTTCTAGGTAGCTCCCCCACCACACTGTTCACTGTTTTCTTTTGCTGTCCTCAGGAATCAGCTTGCTTGTTTTGTTTCATTGCTATCTGTAGTTTCTAATGAGTTTTTCATTTTCTGTGATCTCTACATAACAGATCTTACTTTTTTCTCTTCTCCCCTACATTTGTGTCTGTGAAATATGCATGCTGGTGTTTTTACTACTTTTAAGGAAAGAGAAGTATTTAGAAACAAAAAGAGGTATTTCATCTGTCTTTGCCACAAGGATTTTTTCCTCCCTAGTTACATATTCAGGGGAAAAACAAGTTGTACATAAGTGCCTCTTACGTTTCAGAGGAAAGTCAGATTGGAGTTATAGTGGACTTCTTATCCTTAGAGGTAGGTAGAGGTAGAGGCAGAAGCTTGGTTTAAACAGGACTCTGCCTCTGTAGGGAGGGATGAGGAAACTAAAGACTACAGGAGTCAACTGCACTGGGGTACTGGGTTACAGGAAGGGTAGTGATTGTGCTAACCTAGAAGACTACAAAGTAGAGGAAATTCATATGCCATTTTGCTGAATTTGAAAAGGCTTTGTTCTTTCATCTCACAGGGATACTTCAGCACAAATGATAGAAGAAAATTTGAACTGCCTTGGCCATTTAAGCACTATTATTCATGAGGCAAACGAGGAACAGGGCAATAGTATGATGGTAAGTTTTGTGTGGATATGGGTGCCTGCTTTGGCTATGTTGGGTGCAAAAGGTTTAACTTTCCATGCTAGCCTATCTGGCATTTGGGATGCATATGGGAAACAGAACTCAAGAGGAAAGAGCATTTGGGGAATATCCTCAACCTTAAATCCTTATCTGCTGTTACTCAGGGATATACTAGGATTATGTCATCAATTATCTTCAATAATAGCATTTTTGGTCAAATTAAATGAGTGGTAAGCTTTCTTAACAATGTGAACATTGAAATTGAATGGTTTGTTCTGTACCTTTTTGCTTCAGCAATCCATTTTCTTCATTAAGATGGGACTTATACTTTAAATCAGATATGGTACCTCCCAAATAGAAAATAAATTATGTTTATATAGCTGTAATAATAAAACTGTGTGCTAAGATTTGGTTACTATAAACTACTGATTTGTTAAAACTTGGGGAAATTACAATAAAATGTTTACTGCATCAACTTTTGCTGCATTTAGTCTTAATGTCAGTTCTGTATATTTCCTCTTTCATTAAGAAAAATAGCAGCGGCCAGGCATGGTGGCTCACGCCTGTAATCCTAGCACTTTGGGAGGCCAAGGCAGATGGATTGCTTGAGCCCAGGAGTTTGAGACCAGTCTGGCCAACATGCGAAACCCTGTCTTTACAAAAAATATAAAAATTGGCTGGGTGTGGTGGCACACACCTGTGGTCCCAGCTACTTGGGAGGCTGAGGCAGGAGGATCGCTTGAGTGCAAGAGTTTCAGGCTGCAGTGAGCCGTAATCCTGCCACTGCACTCCAGCCTGGGTGACAGAGTGAGACCCTGTCTCAAAAAAAGGAAAAAAAAGAGGATGATAATGGCAGCCAGCCATAGTGACATGTACCTGTAGTCCGAGTTACTAGGGAGGCTGAGGCAGAAGGATTGCATGAGCCCAGGAGTTCAAGGCTGCAGTGCATTATGAAGAGCCACTGCACTCCAGCTTGGCAACATAGCAAGATCCTGCTCTCTTAAAAAAAAAAAAAAAAAAGAAAAAGAAAACGAAAAGGAAAGAATAATTGTTTGCTTCAAATATTTATGAAAAAAACTCTGAAATTTTTAAAATCAGGAAATAAGGTAAATGAAATGATTTTTCAACTTTTGATTATAAAATGTCCAAACAGACAGAAAACTTGCAAAAATGAACACCCATATACTTATTACTTATAGTCAACATCTAATTATAACTTTTTCATGCCTGGTTTTAGAATCTTGATTGGAGTTGGTTAACAGAATGAGTTGTCACTTGTTCACTGTCCCCAAACCTATGGAAGTTGTTGCTATACATGTTGGAAATGTGTTTTTTCCCCATGAAACCATTCGTCAGACATCAGTCAATGGAAGAAATGGCTATGAACAGAAACTACATTTCTACTATGATCAGAAGAACATGATTTTGCAAGTATAACATTTTTGAGTAATTTAAGCCTCTAAACTGACAGAAATTTATAAAAAGTCAATGTACTTGTTTGAATATTTGTTTTAATACCACAGCTGTTTAGGAGCATCATCATGACACATTTGTGCCTTCAATCTTGGTGAAACATTACTTATTTAACTGATTAAAAATGCCTTTTATGTATTAGTTTCCACTTTTAACTGTTGGGCATAAGGCCAGATGTAGTTTTGTATACAGAGAAGAAAACCTCAACTAATAGGCATTTTAAGTAAAAGTTGTCTATGTTTTTTCTAAAAGGGCTGCTCACAAGTTTTATTTCTTAAAGAATAAATTCTACCTCCTTGTGTTGCACTGAACAGGTGCTCTTCCTGGCATCATAAGGAGTTGGTGTAATCATTTTAAATTTTACTGAAAATTTAACAGTATTCCCTTCTCACTGAAGGGATTGTGTATCTATGCTTCTAATATTAGTTGGCTTTCATAAATCATATTGTTTTGTGTATATGTATTTAAGATGTACATTTAATAGTGTCAAAGAGAAGATGCCTGTTAATTTATAATGTATTTGAAAATTACATGTTTTTTCATTTGTAAAAATGAGTCATTTGTTTAAACAATCCTTCATGTCTTGTCACACAAATTTATAAAGGTCTGCAATCCTTTATCTGTAATTGTAATTCCAAAATCCAAAAAGCTCTGAAAACAAGGTTTCCATAAGCTTGGTGACAAAACTCATTTGCTTGCAATCTAATCTGAACTGACCTTGAATCTTTTTACCCCATTTAGTGTGACTATTCCTTTATTTTGCTGCTTGATGATGAGAGGGAGGGCTGCTGCCACAGACTCTGATGAGGGCTGGGTAATGTAGTATGGTATATGCACAAAATTACTTTACTAAAATCTAAAATTTCTTAATTCTGAAACATCTTGCCCCAAGGGTTTCAGATAAAGGACTGTGGACCTCTATCATCTGTTAAGTAATTTAGAAGATATTATTTGTCTTAAAAAATGTGAAATGCTTTTATATTCTAACAGTTTTTCACTTTGTGTATTAAATGGTTTTTAAATTACTTTTTTGATCTCTATTCATTATAAAAATCAGATTATAATAAAACAGTTGAATATGGCTTAGGAAAATATGAAGGTTCCATGAAGTGGAATTAAGAGCACAGGATACATGTACTTTCCTTAGGGATACCAGGACGTATGGTAAAGGTAGTATTGGACAACTTCTTTAATAGTGTTTTCCTCTGAGATGTCCTATCACCACTATCTACATCTAAAAACATGCTTGTATCTTGCCCTATAAACTGATGTCACAGTCCCACCATCCCCATCTTGCTAAAGTGGTATCATTTTCCTAGTCAACCAAATTTTTTAGTCATCACATACCACTATTATTATAATATTATACTATTATAATAATCTGTTATAATAAGCAGTCTCTATCTTGTTTCCCTACTTTTAGAAGATTTTAATAATAAACATTTATTGGGTACCTATTACTTGGAGGGTATTAAGCTAGATGGCAAGATCAGAAACAACATAGGTAGTACAGTAAAAGTGCTTATCTGGGAGTCTGAACATTACAAGTCATCCAAGCATTGCAGTTATTGTTAGGGATCATTTTTCAATGGTCATGCATTTCCTAAATATTTTAATAATTGGTGAAAGATTTGCTATAGGGTGGGAGCCGCTGCTGGTGTGTGGCTGGGGTTGTCAGGGCCGCCTGACCTATATAATTTGGGCAGATGGTGTGAGTCAGAACAGACTATTATAGTGGGATCCCCAAACTTGCTTTTGATGCATGAGTTGGACCACTATTTTTTGGTGGGTAACAACTTTTCAGAGGGGAATGGCAGTTGTGAATTGTATACATTTCATTCTTTAAGCAATATTATGAAAAATTTAAGAGAATGTCTATAGAAAACAGGGTATGGAGCAAGTTATTTTCCATTCCTTTTGCTTTTTGGAAGTTAAAATACCTAAGCTCTGCAAATATCATTTATTAGGAACAGATAAGGTCCCAGACATTCCTAGATAATAAAAATCAAATGAATGATACAGGTAAGTGTATTTATTGAAGGGTGTGGGTAGAGTGGTCTGGGAAGGCTTCCTTTAATGAAGACAAATTGATTCTATTTACCTCTTCTCACTTCCACTACTAAAGTAATCCTGGGCCTGCAGTTTCCTAACCACTTGACTTTCTTGCCAACAGTCTGTCTCCACTTTCAGCCTTTTATAGATTCATTGGCCCTAAAGCACTGCTTTCCCATACTTCCCTACCCAAGAGGGCAGGGGTCCTCAAGCCCTGGGCCGCGGACCGGTACCAGACAGTGGCCTGTTAGGAACCCAGCCCGATAGCAGGAGGTGAGCGGCGGGCAAGTGAGCATTATCGCCTTGAGCTCGGCCTGCTGTCAGATTAGCGAGTGGCATCAGATTCTCATAGGCACATGAACCCTATTGTGAACTGTACATGCAAGGGTTGCGGGCTCCCTGTGAGAATGCCTGATGATCCGAGGTGGAACAGTTTCATCCCGCAACCCACACACACCCCCACCCCGTCAGTCTTTACGGGGACTGTAAAGGTCTTTATAACCCTAGTCCACCTTGTCCAGTTATAGTTCCACCTCTAGCCTTTCAAGGCTTAAACCATGAATGCCCTTGATTTCTCTTGTATTCATCTATCTCCCACCTATACCTTTTTCCTTCCCTTTTTTATTTTCGGCAATATGTGCCCATGGTTTAGAATTTAAAACGAACAGAATATGTAGTGACCCCTACCATAGCACTCCTTTCCATCACACAAGCCTTCAAGGAAACGGAAGTGCTTACTTTTGTCTCCCTGGAGGATTCCCTCTGCCTCCCGCACCATGTGCTTAGCAATTCTGTTCCTGTTGTCTGGATGGCCTTCATAAAGCCCTCACTGGACCAGCATTCTGGCACATAATAGGAACACTTAAAAAACGAGAGAATGATGCAGTTATACGTAGTGTCTTCCTCTTCTGAACTTTGACAGCACTTTATTTGCAACAAGTTTAGTTGCTCCTGAAGTGCAGGATCTGTGCTGGAAGTACGTGCGTGTTACACAGTGGGGCTCCTCATACACTGCAAAAGGACAAATAAACCAAACAGCTACCGCTTGAGAATGACCGAGTGGGTTCTCTGCACAAGAACAAACCAACCAGTCCCTTGTCCGAAAGGCCCTTTCCTTTTCTCTGCTTCGCTGCTCACTCCAGATTCCCGGCTGTCCTCTTCCGCAGCAGTTAACCAGCAGTGTACCGAAAAACAGCGACTTGCCTCCAAAAACCCTGCGCGGCCCGCGGCTAGGAGAATTTTGTCCCATGCGCTTCCCGTCTCACTAGTCGCGGGCCGGGGCTACGCCGTGTGCGTCCCCGCGCAGCCGCAGTACTGGGCGAGTAGGCGGGGCCGGCTGTTGGCGGCGGTTGGCTTGGCCCGGGAGTCGGCTGCACGTGCGGGCGGGGGCAATGCGTCACTGATCGGTGAGGCGCGGCCGAGGGGTCGGCTTTCCTCGCGAGCTTGCGGCTGGGCTCGTTCTCAGTGCCTTCCACCTGGGAGCGACCCTTGGGAGAGAGAGTGTCAGGAAGCTCACCGAGCAGGGGCGGCCCACTGGCCTCCAGGGGCGGAGGAGTTGGCAAGGGGTCAGCGGGCTCCGCCAGAAGGGAAGAATGAGGGGACTGGGGCACTGGACTCCGCGGCTCAGCCTGCGAGAGAGCGCCAAGCTTCCGAAGGGAGAGGGTGGAAACTGGAGGGGGTGGACCTGTCACTCACGGGACTGAGGGTGCTTTTCTCCTGCTCCCAGGAGGAACGAGGATGAATATGACTCAAGCCCGGGTCCTGGTGGCTGCAGTGGTGGGGTTGGTGGTTGTTCTGCTCTACGCCTCCATCCACAAGATTGAGGAGGGCCACCTGGCTGTGTACTACAGGTGAGCGGCTTGTGCGGTCAGTCAGGGCTCTAGAGAACGTTAAAAGGGTACTCCAGAGTGGAGTCTGGGAAGTTGTTCCCTCTGCAGCGTTCGGGGACGCATGTCCCATCTCTAGGGAAAGCACAGGGGTCGAAGCGGGCTTTTGCGGAACACCGTCCAGATGTTGGACAGTTTTAGTGCTATGTTCGTTTTGTTGCAGAGATTAAGTCTTCCTACGGTTATTCCTATACACAGCAAACTTAAATTATTTGTGGAAAAATGAAGAAGGAAGAAAGAAAGTAGTCATTCTACCTCTAACTGAAGAGATGGTTAAATTATAGTTCGTCCAACTGTACAGACTTTAGTTTGCCTCTGTAGACTATGCTGTATAGAAAATTTGGTTCTGTTTATGATTGTTTCTTAGGCTTTTTCATTTAAAAGCTTCCAGTGTCTAGTTACGTTTTGTAACACCATGATGACCATGATAGTGGTTATATCCCTGGACATCCAGGGACATAAGCATAACACTGATGGGCCATTCTCCTCCCCCTTTACTGTTTCTGTTCAGGTTGGGGACAGGAGTGGTGTGGGAGCTGTTGCTTTCTTGTTGAGCTCTCATAGCTTTTCCTTCAGCCTAATTACCACAAGTTCCTTTTGATGTAGACTAGTAAGAGAGAGGCCGGTTTGTGAAGAATTTGGGATAATGGTGTATTCAAAAAGAGGGTCAACTTTTTGCTTGCTTCCACTGTCCCTCAAAACTGATATTTCTATTTTCAGATCCATCCTGAATCCTAGAAAAAGAACAATTTTAATGGTATATCTTAGCAGATGGAGCTCTAGCATAAGAAATTACAGATTAGTCCAGATTTCCTTCCAGTTTAGCATTGTCTTTCTGGCAGTAAAACCAGAGAAAGGACATTTCAAGGAATGACTCAAAGAATTAGTGATGAACTTCAAACAGTTCATCTTTTCTTGTTATTATGACTTAGCAAACGTGTTTATATTTTCAAGACAGGAAGCTAAGTTCTATGAATTTACAAGGTGCAAAATAGGACTTCTTTGTTTTATTTGCTCTCCAAATGTCTCCTTTTTATAATTTCCAGGGCTTGCTTTCATAGTTTTCGCATTCCAGGATTTGGTGAACAAGCCCTTAACCTGTTTACATAGTCTTGTCACTCTTCATCTTTTCATGCTAATTTTTTTTTTGTTTTTATATAGAAATTTTATGTTCCCAGTATTTTAATTACCTTGCAGATAGATTGAAAGAACTATAAGCCTCAGAAATTTTCTCTTTACTTCAAAGTTTGCATTGTCTTTTTTCAACCTGGTGATTAAATGTATTATATATTTTGATTTGGCTTTTGTTATGTACAGTTAATGTACCTCTACTGAAAGCCATTAAAATTTTTTAAACAAATATTTCTCAGAATGTTAAAGACCGAGGAGAATCCTTTGAACCTGAGAGCAGTGCTGGAGACGCAGAGGTATGGTTGGTTGAGCTTATGAAACAAGGTGTAACATTGGCAGTTTAATTTGATCTTTTTGCGTTTTTAGGTGTGGAGGTATTTTAAGCAGTTGTTCATTATGAGTAATTCATATTAGTGAGGCTTTGGTAGGTCAGCAGCATGAGCAAGAGTGAGTATTTATTATAGCATTTTAGATTTAGAAAGATAATTTTTGTTTTTATAATTTTGTCAAATTGAAACATCTTTTTGCAGGGGAGGAGCTTTACTAACTAGCCCCAGTGGACCAGGCTATCATATCATGTTGCCTTTCATTACTACATTCAGATCTGTGCAGGTGAGTGATTCCTAGGGAAGCCCCCATACCAGATAGACAGGTGTGACAGGAGTTACCACACTTTTGGGTGGAGATAGATTTCTTTATTGCTTAAGCAGATGGTGGTATTTACTTAAATGCAGGAGTTAACGTTCAGAGTACAGTTGTTACAACACAAGTTATTATGTTAAACCACCTCACTTACTTGAAATGAATTAAAGGTATGAACCAGGTAACTTGGAAGGACTGACTTCTACCATCTATATCGTGACATGTAGCAAATTTTTTGTTGCTGCTATGGCAATAAAAGTAAGAATTAGGAACACAACTAGACATACAAACCAGTGATTTGATTATGTGGTTTAG